TTTCTACGGTACATAAACTTTTGGGATTGACTGTATAGCCAATACATCCTTAAACGAAAGACGAATACGACTGAGTTTCCGCGGTATAAATACGAATGACACGGGTACCGGGAAAGGAAGATACGAAGCACGTAAAAATAATTGACATACGCGATATATTTTTTTGTCGCTGCTTCAGCTTGCGTGTCGGAAGCGCTCGCATGCGAATCGTAACGATCCATGGAAGGTGTTTACGTCCATAAATTCTGCAGCCATTATCAAACGCCGAACAAGGCTATTACGCGGGATACGTACTTGGAATTCCATTGCTCGGTGAGCCTTGCGAGCGATGACATCATTCTCCAGTTTGGAAATTTATAATACACGAGTACGGCATACGTAATGATCGACGAAAGAGGGCAAGAGAAGAATTGAATCGGTTCCGCAGTTTGAGTCAGCGGACAACGATTTCGTTCGCGAAGTTGGTCACCGAGTTTCACGGTAATCGTTTGCGCCTTCGTACGTTCAATTAAATCCAATCGCAAATGATACTACACGTGATTATGCTACCAGTTTAAAATCGGCATAATAAGCAAAATACCGGGTCAGAGGTCGATGAACAGGATCGACGGATCTCGTACTTAAGCCTCACGGAGAGATGAGATCATTGCCAAAATTGGACTGTTATGAACGCTTTGCACGCGCTCGATCGAAGTCGATCGTAAGTGATCGCAGCTGACACGACGTACGCCAGATTCCAATTAAGCCTCGACGGTCACACCCATTTTATCGCGATCGTTCTCTCTTGGACATGCTCATCATCGAAACGCATTACCGAAAATCGATTCGGCCTGTTCGTAGAGAAAGAGTCGTTGACGAAGGGGTCGAGTGGTAAGAGATCGGAACGTATAGTGGTAGAATTTATGCCCGTGAAAGAGCTCCATTGACGATCGCGACCCTGCACCGAGAACTCTTTCTACGATTCTTTCCTTCGTCTCGTTACGTTGCGTCAGTTTTATTTATAACCGAATAACGCGAGAACCTTCCGACCTTCGCCTGGTTTCGAAGCGAAAGTACATACGCGACCGTGCCCCTTCCGCGAGGTGTGTAACTAGACTTCTCTCGAAACGCCGAAAGTTCACAGACCCTCGCTAAAGGTCAAATTATTCTTCCTACTCGATACGCCCACCGCGTCGTTATTTCATCTGGAGACACGAGTTTTACGCGAGAGGTAGACGAAAGAATACAGAGGAATAATATGCCTCTTCCTCTGTTAATCGAGAAATTGACTCATGGCTCGCCGTTACTCACCAAATCTTCGCGCGTGTCCATTGTGTACTCGCTGATGACACGCTCCTCCACGTCCTGCAGGATGCTGGATCGGTCAATCGCGTAAGAAGTTCGAATCGTTTCGGTGTCCTTCAAGTCTCGTATGTCCTTTACGTCGTGTGTCGCCACTGAAATTTCTATGGTATCTTTTATATCTTCCGCGTCGCGTTTGAACTCCGAAACTTTTGTCGTATCACGGACGTCCTCTTCGTCTTTTCTCATCGACATTTTCCTGACGTCCTTCGTATCTCGCGTATCCATTACGTCGTGTTTCACCACTGAGATCTCTGTGATATCTTTAGTGTCGCGCGCGTCCTTCGAGTCGCGTTTTACGATCGAGATTCTCGTGGCATCTTTCGGCATTGGAGAACCGCTCGGCTCGTCCCCAGGAGATTCCTTTCGTCCTGTTTTACGGCCCGGTTCCTTCTTCCGCTCCTGCGGTTTTTCGTACGTGAAGGATCCGTCCCAAGTCGAGGCACCTGGTTTCGTTGGTCTGACGGATCTGTCTGCCGGACTCTTCTCGGGACTCTTCGGTTTCTCAGGTTGTTTCTCAGGCCGTTTCTCGGCGGGTGACTCTTTTCTCTCGAATTTTACAGTCTTTTCATCGTCTCCGCGAACGATCGTTTCGGACACCTTCGACAAGTCCGACACTAACGTGTGTTCGAGTGTGGTTGAGGTACGGAATTCCGAGGTTTCTCTGGCAGTGTCCGAAAGAGTGATCGACTTTTCGGTGACGTGAGTCGACCGTTCGTCTTTCGGGTGCTCGCTGTCGTCTGTACGGATCGTGACACGTTTTTCAGTCGGTTTCTCATACACGAACGATCCGTCCCACGTAGACGCGCCCGGTTTCGATGGTCGAACGGATCTGTCCTTCTCAGGACCGCTGGATCTTTTTAGTTCCGGACCCTTCTTCTCTGGACTCTTCGGACTCTGCTTGATCGTCACGGGCTCTTTTACCGGGACTCCGTCACGTACGATCACGGTCTCTACGGAACTCGTGGAATGATCCATGCTCGAATCGGTATGACTTTCGTGCGTTGTCGCAGATTGCCGTAGGACGGTCGAGTCCGAGGTGCTCGATACCTGTCGATCACGAATGTCCAACGTGGTATCGCTGATATGCTCGCTGGATCTCTGTGGCATCTGGGCTGACTTGGGGCGCGGTTCATCGGCTTGTTGCGGCGATCTCTCCATGACGAAGGTCCCGTCCCAAGTCGACGAACCAGACTCGGTGAGCCTGCTACCTCTGATCTTCTCCGGACTTCCTGGTCTGCTGGACGGATGCACCGATCGCGAGTCGTAAACGGTCTCGTGAACCGACGTTAAACTCGAATCTCTGACGTCGGTGAAACTCTGCCGACTGGAGGAATGTTCGACCACGTAAGAAGTTGACGAGATCTCTGTTTCGTTAATCGAATTATCTTCGGATACGTCTCGAATAATGACGGTATCGGTCGGCCTTCGCGAGTCGACCTTTTTCTTACGTTCCGGGACTTGTTTCTCGTACACGAAACTACCGTCCCACGTTGACTGACCGAGTTTGTAACACCTCGACGTACCATCGCGTTTCGCCGGTTTCTCCGGGCTCGACGGTCTCCGAGGCGAACCGGAGTCCTCCTCGAAGATCGTTTCGGAGACGGACGATACTTTTTCCACGGTCGTCTTCTTCTCGTCGGTCGACGTCGCGTGTTCGACGACGTACGACGACGAACGGGACTCCGAAATATTTTGCTCTTCGGTAACGTCTTGCACCTCTACGGAGTCGTGCCGCTTCTCGCTCCTCCTGACGACCGTCTCGTCCGATCTCTGGCCACTGTCATAACCCTTTTCGTACACGAATCGGCCGTTCCACGCGGAATCTCCAGGTCGCGTGATTTTCCGAGTCGGAGACGTCCTGTCTCTCGGACCGTCTGTTCTGTCGATCGGTTTCCCATCGATACTACTTCGTACTTCTTCGGTGACGTCCCTACGTTCCTCCGATATGAATCTGGAAGAATCCGTAGCGCCCTGCACCATGTGGACCATGTTCGACGACTTCTTTTCGTAAGATCCATCCGTGCTCGTCACCCTCGAATCCGATCTCTGCGTCGACTCGATTACGTCGTCCGAACCGGCATGCCGGAACACGGAGGCGTCCGAAGCGTTTGTCTTCCTCGGTGGTGTCCTTTCCACGATGAACGTTCCATCCCACGCGGAATCTCCAGGCTTTGCGAAACGCGATCCCGTGCTCGTGATCCGTCTTTGGTCTTCCGAAAGATCGATTCTGTCGCTGGATGAGCGAGATTCGCGTTGGATGTTTCGATCGAAGACCTCGACGTTCGCATAGTCGCGAAACGTCGAAGACGATGTACGCTGGTCGACGAACGAGCTCTCAGAGATTTCAACGCTGGACGCGCTCTCCCGTTGGACGAACCGATCCAATTTCTCGTCTACGCCGACTCGAGAGGTTTCGGACTTTTTCTCTTTGCTCGGACTTTCTACGATGAATGTGCTGTCCCACGCGGGCCGTTCGTTGCGACGCGCGACGATCTCGCTCGTTACGCCCGTCCTTCCACCGCTCAGCGCAGCACTCTCACCGACTTTAACGTCGTCCGTAAATTTGACTCGACCCGCGTCTGGTAAAATCTTGGTCTCATCCTCCACGCTGCGACTCTGTGAAGCTGTCACCATTCCGTTGTCATCCATCTTCTCCCCCGATTCGTGGATTTTCGTGGTCTTCGCCACTGTCTGTCCACCGGTCGTTCTTTCTTCGCGAGTTTCCTCGCTGGCTTGTCTGCTCTCGTAGGATTTTGTCGACGTCTGAACTCGCGGATGATTCATGGTTCCGTTGGAGACCGTCGACGAATGATCGTGATGATCTCCGACGGACGAGGTCTCTACGACCATGCTGGAGGACGTCGATTTTTTCGACGTTTCCCCTTTTAAATCTTTTCGTAAGCCCTCGCGGAGTATTTCGTCTTGTTTCAAGGACTGCGACCGTTCCTCGGTCAGAAATTCTTGGGAACTCTTCCCACTTTTATACCTGGAAGTCTGACCCACGGTCCGTGGAGAAGTCTCGACGACCTCGAGCACGTTACCCATCGAATCCATGACTACTTCACGGCTCGCGCTGATCATTTCGACGACGCTGCTGCTGGATTCGCTCTCTACAACCTGTCTCGCCTCCTCGACGACGCTCGTCGACACCACTTCCACCGTCTCGACCACTCGGGTCGCGTCCGAAGAGGTCGAAGAAGTCGTAGCGACTTCTTTGCCTCTCCCACCCTTCTTTCTATTCGTCATTTTCGTTCACTCGTCTCATGCGAAGAGAAAAAATATCGGAACTAAACTCGCGCACTGTGATTGCCTCGAAAAAACAAACGAGTGACACTAGACTCCGAAACCGGGACGACAGCTCGACCGGCCGTCCGTTCACGAACGTTTCTACTCCTCGTCCTTGAGGTGTCAGAGTTCCGACAAGATTCTACTCGCGCTTCTCGTATCGGATCGCGTGTGTCTCGGTTGCCGTGATGCGTGAGAACTGTTGAACCGATGTTCACGGTTCGGTACCGCGAGTCGATGTGGCATCGGCGATGGCTCGCTGGCCCTAGTGACCACACGATACACCGTTCCTCTCCTTCGCTACCATTGCCACGTTCGTGCCTGGAGAACGCCGCGGATCCGACTCCCTACTTTTCTTACCCGCGTGTCGCCCCGCCGGCGTGGGACGTCGTTCTCTCTGCGTCGCGTATACGTGCACACACGATCCTCCTTACCTTACACCGTTCTCTCGTAGGTAGGAGCAAAGCTATACTCTTCGTCTCCTCCTTTCCCAAACCGGCTCGATTTGTCCTCGCCCCTCTTTGCCCACGCCGATCCTCTTTAAGGACGAGCTCCCGACCCTTTCGATTCGTTTTCGACTGCGTTTACGTCTAGACTCGAAGATACGACAGCGTTTTCGCGCGTAGATACGTCCGACCGAAGAGCGCACACGCTCTGGCTCGACGATATTGTATAATCGCCTACCTACATGTCTACGAATTCCTCGATTAATTCCTATCAGCTACTTCTGATTCGACCGCGTCGTCGCGATGATCTCCTGATCTCTAGTATTCGATACACTTTCGAAAGCGATTCATATTCTCGATTCAGTCTCTGTTATTACGCAACATTCTGCCCAAAGGCATTTTTTACATGTTTGTCTTACCGAAGATAAACACCGAGCGTCCTCGGTATTCAGTTTGCTCGGTAGTTACGTCCATAGATTTCAATTTGGCGACCAGTGGTCGACCAACTTCTTCCTCACTCAGATTTTACGGCCGGTTGGTCCCTCGCGTAAACGCACACCTCTGTTCCTACGCGTCGTAAAAATGCTGTATACGGTTCTCCGTTTTCACTCGAAACGCGAGATTCTTTTCGGCTACGGTTTCTTCCACGATAGAACCTTTCCATCGGTGGAGACGAGTTTCAGACGTAAATGCAATTTTACGTTTCTAAATATCACCGTGAATCAGTGTACAAACAGCTTTAAAGGCGAGAGAGTGAAAGAACGTGTTTATTCATACACATCGCCCGAACTTTGCTGAGCCGAAGTTTGGAAACAAACGGTATACAAGAATTAGAGAACAGCATAATATACTTATAAAGATTAGATACGCATCGTTCGCTTATAGTTTCCGAGCGATAACAAGTTTTAATTACGATTTAGTTACTCAATGATTTAGCACGTTTGAAATTTAACAAACGTTTACCATTATCTGTTCGATCCATATCGGCCCGTACTTCGAGCTCTGAGATCATCCGACTAATTAGGGTACACGCATAGATAGAAGTGTTTTTACATCGTTTGAGGAAAAAGAATCGGTGTCGCGAATAGAAATGACCAGATGGAGAGAGAGATCAGAACCGGTCCCTCGCGATGTCGCGATGTAAACCGGACGATGACGTGGACCGCGACCGGCGGCGCCGTTTCCCTCGAGGTGTCGAGCTGGCGCGCCGACGTCCAGTATTTTCACTGATCGCATCGTTGCAGCCGTGTGCGTGTCGTTAACGAGCTGACACAGCTGAAGGAATTATCACCGGGTAAACGTTGAAACCATACCGAGAACCCTCATCGGAGTAGTGCACTTTTAAAATTCTTCCCTTATCGCTCCTAATGTCAAATTCCGATCCTAGCTTCTAACGCGATTCGATGCGTTTAGTAAAAAAATTAGACGCACTGGAAATGCGAGGAACGAAATGAAACGTTCGAATGGCAAAACGAATCTCTGCCTAAATCGCATTCCCGTGAATTCTGCGGTCTGTCACGTCCCCGATGAGGTCTTCCGTGTAACGAAACGTATTCGTCACGGACGAGCTCACGCGAGATGAGTAAAGAACCGCAGGTGATGTAACAGGAAATGCGACGTACGAACGCTCGAAGGATCGGCACCTGCGTGAGTCTGATTCCACGATCACGGCCTTCAAAGCCGTTGCGAATGATCGTACGTTTAATATGATTGGTCTCATCGATCCGCATTGCGTTTCGCTCGTTCAACGACGGGCGGGCTTTGACTTTCCGTTCGTTTCCTCCGACTTCTCGCGTCGATACACGTTCGGCGTGCACTCGGGCACTAAAAGTCGTACGAGAATAGCAGTTTCGTGTCGGTCGATGAACTATTTTTATTTTAAACGGTGCGATTCCTGAACAGAAGATTCCTTGCGAAACCTTGGCAATCCCAGGGGTGCTCGTCTCGATGAGGAAACGCGTCCTCGACCGTACGTTTTTACTCGAGAAAAAAATCGGGGACACGGAGTGCATACGATCGATCCCGATCGGTTTCGATTAAGGAGCGAAAGTACCACGCCTGTCGCGACGCGGTTTTTTTCCCGTAAACAGCAGTTATCGTCGGTTCATCGCGTGGGCAGACACCGTGCAGGCGCTGTGCCACGGCGGATCGACTTCGGTGCCCCGTATTTGGTGAACGCGTCGGCTCACGTGGGCGAACCAGTGGCCGCGTCATCCGGGAACCGTCTTAGCAAAACGCATGCATTCTTCAGGGTAAACGGTCTCAGGATCGAACCGTGAATCGCGCTCGTCGAACGTCGCGTCGTTTGCCCGAGGAGAAGATCAGACGTGCTCGAAGTTCTCTAAGAATCCCTCGAACCTTCGGTCTTCGCGATGATTTTGTTCTTCGGGTTGAGTATCGATGAAACAATGCATGCAGCTGGTGATCGAGCCAACTCGTTGTCGACCAACGCGCTCGATCCGCTAGCAGGGTGAAAATTCTTGTAAACCCTCGTCTCTAAATTCGCGCGATCTATTCGCGTCTCACCGAGAAGGGCCCGATCGAATGCCAGCGGCTACTTACGTCGCGACGCATTAATTCGTTCTGTTACGTGCGAGGTGATCGAGATCGATTCTCACGGGCGCTTATGGTCAACGGGGTTACACGGGGGAAAAAAGATGAATCACACTGTCCTTTTCCACCTGTGCCTCCTCTCGGAGGAATCGAGAGCTCGCTCGACTCGAGAGACGGTACCGGCCAACTTCCTTTATAATGGATCGCGCCATAATGAACCACGGTACGGTGCGTTCTCTTATTAATTAATGTTAAAAGGGAAACTTTTGTAATTCCGCTTTTAAGACGAAGCTATGTACTCTGACCTCTGGCTGGGGCGCCGTTCCATCCTACCCGACGTCTTCGAAATTAACGCACTTGCGAATAATTAAAACTCTATCTTCCACGAGTTCCTCCCGAAAGTCTACTTTACAAATGTTCCAGAGCACCCGACATCTCGAACCTTCGTCAATCCCCCATAAAAAATGGAGTCGGTTCAATTCGACGAATGTGTATGGGACGTGTGCCGCGTTGATTCACGCAAAATAAAGCTGGCCGGATGTCTGGGCAACGGGAGTAAAAGGTCGAGAAGCGGAGGCGGCTGCCTCTCGTTGCGTTCGTGGCAATGCGTCCATAAGCGGAGATACGAATTTCACATGAGTCTGCGACAGGATGGTAGGGGGATGCTGCGATTGAATTTGCAGTCCGTGATGTCATGATCCGTTTTGCTTGGTCTCCTAGCGGGGTAAAGTCTCGGTCCTTAAATATTCGAGAGCGAAACCATTCTGTACTGACTGTACGCAAGCAGACGAGAAATCGCGTTTCTCCGTACGCGACCATGACACTAAATTACCAGCTTGCACAGCAGCGGTCATCGATCTGCATTTGCTCGCGACGCGATTCATCATCTTTTTCGTGTACTCGAGAGACCAGTCGGCCCAGACCCGATTCCGTATGCTAATTCTCTCTCGAAAATGGAACGACGCGAGAACGATTGATCGGGCCGTGTACGGCATTCGCTCGTACGCCTTCGCATCCTCCAAACGCCAAGTCGGAAAAAAAAACGCCAAGTTGACGCATTTGGCGATGCGATCTTGATATATTCACCCTTCTGGACGCTGTACAGGGATCGCGGTCCGACGCAGGCCGATGCGATTTAGGTCGATGCGTAAGACGAGAGCACGTGGCACGGAAAATCGTGGTATCGATGAGCGAGGAGGTCGCGACCACAAACCTATGTCTCGGGTCGATACGCCAGCATTGTGATCGGTCGCGTTCCGCAGGGCTGATAGTATTCGTCGATCGCTGATATCGGCATTTTTCGGGAAGGTATCGACTTGATGACCTACATGTCCCATGATCACGCGAGAGTTGGTCTCGCTTGGAATTTTATCGGGCATCGCACTCGTGCGAAAACACTTCTAAGTGGGTACGTTGTTGCTCGGGCACTGCAGATGCGGTTACCAGAGAGAGTATCGACGAAACAAGAGGAGGTGCATGAACGCAGACCGAAGGAATGCAGTTGGAACGTGAGCGATAGGGATAGACAAAGATCCGTCTGTCTGCTCGTGCGTACAGAGATCGATACCGATCTCTCAAGGTTCGATAAATATTACTATGTCCGGTTATGAGATGCACGAGATATTTCGTTTGAACATCCTTAATGGTGAACGATTAATTGCGTTGATCGCGATCGATGCTTCGCCGATTGATGGAGTCTTCGAAGAGAACGCTAAACCGAGGAAATCGCAGCACGCTGTCTCGCGAGCCTGAAAGCGGTGACCGGTGTTACACCGCTGTCAGTAAACGTCACTGTAGAAGTCACTGTCAGTACCGCTACGAAGATGTTCTTTTGAATCTAATTTAGTAGTAATCGTTCAGCTTAATTAAAATCGTGAAAGAGTACTTTCAGAAAGACGAATTAAAATCTGCGTTTGTCTCTTCCCGCGTACGAGTTGACTCGTCTTTCGAAACGAAGAAATTCTTCTTTATACGTTCAACTTAAATAAATACGTGAGTTTCAAAGGCGAAAGGATCGATTGACCGAGGGATTTAGTTAGACATACCTCTTCCATTAATATTTGAATGGTACGATCGTAACGAATTGGGAAGAGCGCTTACCTTCGATTATGCCCTTGCAGACAGTTTTCTAGGTAACGAGGTATCGATCATCGGCTCGGTCGCGGTCTCTTCATCGTCGACGAATTCCGCGGTCGCGGTACCGATCCTCGGTCGGAATGAAATAGAATCGCACATCGTCCATTTCCTCCGACGAAACCGAATCGTTTAATAATTCATATTCGGTAACGGCGAGACGCCGTTGCACCGACGTCGACGGTTCGCACTTCACAGATGCATCGCGACGTCTGACGTTCCCGCGCCTGTTGGCGTCGGGACGACGTCGGGCATCGTCATGACGACCGCGCATAACAACAACCGCGCGTATGCGCTTTGTTTCCCGCCTTGCGTCTGTCATTTCCAAAGAGACAGATAGACGGTTCGACGTTTTTAATTTCAACCTTGTGACTACGAATTCGATAGAAACAGTTGTAAGCGTTCTCTCGCGATTCGACGTCGGCCTACGCTCTCGTTTCGTTGCAGTCGAACCTTTTATTTTGATCGATTGGGATACGGGTAATATTTCTGGAAACCCCGTGAGATCACGAAGATGATTATCTTGGCCGATGGCAGCGATGAATTATCTGCGATCGTTGTATCGCATAGAAACATCAATGCTCCTAATAAGTTCGTCCATTTGTCATTCGTAGATTTTGCATTAGCCGGCAGTTTCGTACTTTGTACTCACTTATATATCTTGTTTGCGTTCTCACAGCTTATTCTAATTTTATGTTATGCTAATTATTCTGTCATTATTTCGCTTCCATGAGACGCAGCATCCAACGTTATAAAATACCATTAAAGCAAATGTTATAAATATATCTACATCAGCGATAAATATTGTTTGTGTTGCTAAAATCATGGTTTATCAATGCGCGAATTAATGTCTATTTTTAGCATACGAAACTACCGCTATCGGCAGAGATATGGTCGTTATCATTATTTATCATCGTTTTATTTCTACTTAAGAAAATCTATACTCTATTTATTAACGGATACAGTAAACGTATAAAATATACAGAAAAAGTGTATCTTTACAAAAGAAAGTAATCCTAATTACAAGTAATAGACCAACGTACAGATCGTTTCATAGATGGTGATGCCTAAGCCCATGAAATAAGCTAACGCTCTGTGCGGTTGCTTAGGGAAAATAGCGTACGACACTGTATGAGCGATTCTGGCCAGCACGAATGTCCTGATCAAAATCGTAGCTATCTTGACGGAAGGTCCTGTGGTCAGCCACAGGAACGTGACGATGTACCATATAGGAATGTTCTCCAAATCGTTCAAGTGTGCTCTGCGAACACGTTCCACGTCGGGATCATTGAGAGCAACTTTCGATCCTTTGAACCCCTTGGCATCTTCCGGATTGGCGAACACCTGTGACAAAGGTCAAGCGTTCGTTCGTTTCGTATTCGTCCCTCGAGTCAAAATAATAAAACGAAGGAAATCCGTACCTTGTTTTTATACCTCATGCGCGCAGTCAGACCTGCCATTGAGATCAATTTCACGGCGAGCACGCTACCCCAAAACGCGAACGTCTTGAACAGCTCCGGATCCATGAGGGTAGACATTTTATTAGATGTACGGAAATGTAAACAGCCTCTAAAGATCACAGTTGAGCAGCCGTGCCTCGTACCGACGTGTGTTCGGTTGGTCGAATCTTTCGGAATGTGAAAAGGTGCGTAGCTGCAATTGCTTATGTATCGCGAGAGCGTCCGTGTATATATATGTGTATACACGCGATACGTAACACGTGTGTGTGTGTAGTATAGAACAAATAACGGGAATGGATACCAAGAATAAAAAGTTCTAAGTCATCACACGTCGACAAATTTTCATCTGATTATTATTTGTCATAAAATAGCAAACGATTCTAACCCGTCACTTTAGTAGTCGCTAACAGCAATTTTCCATTTTCAATGGACGGATTTTAATTAAACGCCAAATAAATTAAATCTCTCAGAAATATAATTAGTCGTTTCAAAAAATAATAAAAATCGTTCTGTAAAATATTTTTAGTGACTAGTCACTATAAATACTCGTGACGTTGTGACTCGATCCTAGTGACATTCTAATTAAATTTCAATACTAACACTTTCACAATAGTAATTTTGATAAAACTTCGCTCAAATTGAAACTACAGATCCGGGAAATATAAATGAATCATTTATAAAAATGTAAATTCGTTTTTCTTCAGAATATTTCTGCTACGCGTGAAGTCAGGCGCGGACAGTCCAGACTCCAGCCAAAGGGAGAACACATACCTCACTACCATAGCTGTGAACGATTCAAATGATTCTTTGATCACAGATCGAATGGTGTAGCAGGTAGCAGGAATAAATTAGTCGTTGAAAAATAAATATTTTGATTTTATTTACCGAAGAATATGTTTACCAAAGAACATTACATTGTACATAAATTATATATATAATTATATATGCGACGCAATGAAATACGGTAATGCTGTAGGTGCTATAAAATATACATAAATATGAATAATTACAATTTTAACACGTACATGTACATACATAAGTATATGAATACATATACATAAGTGATTTGGTTTTCATTCGTTTTTTCCGATCTCTGATCGACGTTCAATGAAGCTTGTACATTACCGGGTATTCAAAAAAATTACTCTGACTCGATATTACGTTCAGTATGTTTTCTGGACTCAGGATTTCAATCCAGTAACCATCTGGATCTTTGATAAATGCGATTCCTTTCATTTTACCATCGTCAGGTTTCTTCACGAATTCCACGTCCAGCTCTTCGAATCTTTTACACGCTTTCTCTACGTCGGGCACCGTGATTCCGATATGTCCTGTGGATTCGATCGCAGGATTACAATTTCGATATTCTTACGTCTATCGATAAAGGAATATTATATATTACCAAATCCTCTCGGCTCGGTGTTCCCATTATGATACTTAGGATCCGGATCGGTCTCCGTTCCCCAGTTACTGAAAAACAAATAGATCGTACAGATTAATCTTCCTAGCCTAGCGATTTGTCGTTTAAGTGATCATTGAACGTACTGAGTCAGTTCTATAGTTGCTTTGCGACTGAACGTCCATTCGATGCTTTCCCTTTTATCGGAAGGTATGTCCTTCGCGTTCTCGTATCCCAGGAAGTACAACGAGAATTTCATTTCGGGAAAGTCAAGTTTCTGCAGCAACTGCATGCCCAGTACTTCTGTATAAAAGGGTAACGACTTCCTTGGATCTTTGATACGATACATCGTTTGCTGCATTATATAACCATTGGTCGCTGGATCAGGTTTCTTACAAAGCTCGCGCGCTTCAGAGTTAGTCAATCCTATGAGTTCACCCATCTGACAATGACAAGGAAAACATTTATTATACGTTTACATCGCGTTCCCATCTCTCATCTCCATCCGATCATTGATCCTCCCTTTCTCAAGTTTCTGCTTTGCGAAATAAAAATGTTATGGACAGAGTTGAAAAAAAATCTGCGCGTGAATCCACCAAATCCAACGTGTCGATATCTGTCAATTATCGATAGATCAAGATAAAAGAAATTAATAATCGAATCAATCCATTTTATTTTTGTTACATCGAGTGGTCGTAGATACAATGTACATAGGTAGCTTTCGAGGAAAAATACCCGAAAATATAATTTAATGAAATGGAGGGAAGACATCGATAGAAAATGCAAGTACGGCAGATTGTAGGCACTGGAAATTACTTGTGAATTTGACATTTATACCGATATGCACGCGATACATAGTGCATACAGAATGCATACACGTAGGTTAACAAGTAGAAATTGCGAGTTTCGTTGTTTCGTTACGATAACAGTATCGTACCAATGTATAACGACGGAGCAGTATCGCTGGCAAATTGTTCTATGTACGCGTACATTATTTTATCTATTGTTACGCATACGCCGATCGTTAAAACTTACCTTGCTGGAAGATAAATACGACGACGGCAACGATCGAGAGGGAGACAGACACTGGGTCAGTGATGGGATTTTTTGGCACTAGGTATCCACTAGAAGCCATGCAGTAATTTGTAGTGCGCATGACGCATGGGTCAAAAATCGCACGATGTGCCGATGTGCCGGGTTCCACGCTGATATATATATATGCACTTACGAAGCGGAAATGCTTTCGGAAGAGTGCAGAATTACGCGTCATACTTATTATATATACGTACTACTTGCTCGCAGAATTCCGCAAAAAGTGCAATAAAACTGAGCCAATCGGGCTTGTGTTAGTTTCCGTCAACAGTATCGACGCCAGATCAAGTATTAAAAAATAAGCCCTAGAGGAAACTAACACAAGCCCGAGTTGGCTCAGTTTCATTGTTACTAGCTGTACATAGCTGATATATATGTATTCGTAGTCGTAGGGTAGTCATAGTGCTTATATGTTGTGGTCGTGTTATGCTGTCTGCTTTCGCTTCGATTTCCTTTACCTGTCAAAATCGAATAGATTCTAACGAGTACGCGAGTACCTGATAAAGAGAATACGCTTAAACCATTAGCGAGATGGCACATTGGTTCCACCGCAACGTATTGAAAGGCACGACGAACCAGAAATTTGATTTAAAAATAACTGATCCTACGGATGCTACAAGAAAGCTGTCCAGGTTAGCGATAATTACGAAATCTAAATCAAGCTCTCGTACGATATATGTGCTGTTTCAACACGTAAAACGTCATTCGCACCTGTGCACATACGTTTAACAGGAATATTGCATTACGTGCGTACGTGTTGCAGCGATCTCAGATTATCGAGGAGTCGCCTTTTAGAATTGATAAAGAATCCGAATAACTCATCCGACACTATAGAACCAGCTTTCGAGAGTTACTTGACCCTGTTGTACGGATTCATATGGGAAATAAATTCGGCTGTGGAGCAAGCCGAGCACGTCGGAAGACCGAATCCTAGCAAGCTTCGGAACGTCATCGTGTACAAATGGACGCATACGTTATTGGGAACAAATACTTAGTACATTGACATTTTTAATTGTTTCGTTTGTTCGGTAGAAGGAAATGATCCGTCGATAGTACATAACATTCCGATTCGTTGGCCGCACGTTTACTGTAACACGTTTGTTCCAGTTCCAGCGCCGATTCCGTTTACGAGGCAGCTAACATGAGCATGAATATAGGTCTTTGGTTTATGAAACACGCGGCAATGATCGCTGCTAAAGACGAGTAAGTACCGATAGATAACATACGAGATAATTAAAAGGCGTACGTGGCAAGCGAAGTATCATCCAATGAAAATATAATTTAGTATAAGTATGAACGAAGCGAAAGATGTACATACTATGCTAAGGCGGGCTGCTGGAATATTTACCTTTGTACAAACAGAATTTCTACCGCAATTGGCAGAGCCATCGCCGCTTGGAAGTGATTTAGATCCAAGAGTAATAAATGCGTACGTGAATCAGTGTACAGCAGAAGCGCAAGAAGGTTGTACGACAAATAGAATTTCATATTACCAAAGAATATAATACATTCTCCTGGATCAAGTCGTACCTACTTGCACGCATTTATTAATTCTATTGCAGTAACGGTCGCGAGAGCGGTGGAACTGAAACATAATGCCAGTTTGATATCGGCATTGGCTAACGAGACGAGTAAATTATTTCTGGACGCTGCTAATACGTTGCGTCCCTTTAAACCGGAGATAGCGGCGCAGTGGATTAAATACTTGGAATTTAAATCGGCGTTCTATCGATCCTATGTAAGTGGACCGGGAATGGGCAGATGGGAATCTCTTAAACGATTCGTAACGTCGTAGGCTTATAATTATTGCGGTGAGAACTTACTATCAATGGACAAATGCGGAGAGGCGATTAAAGCCTTGCAGGAGAGCGAGACGTGTTTGAAAAAGGCGAAGACATTGTGTCAGGAATATGGAAAAATTAATGGACCGGCTCCTAAAGTAAAGCCGGACCAACACGCCGTATTTAAACGGCTGGCGCCTTTGGTGAAGCTAACTCTGGACAAGTGCAATCGCGAAAACGGTTTGATGTAAGCGTTACGTGAATCGGATTTCAACGCGATTTTTTTGGATGAAATAGATCGTAATCTCGATTGCTTTTAAAGCTATCATCACACGATTCCGGGCGAAGTGCCGACGTTGGACACGAAGGCTACCTTCGGATTGGTCAGCCCCATCGATTTTCAAATGAAATCACACAATCCTATATGGAATTTAGACGTGTACAGAACCTTGTCCGGGCTGAACCCGGCTAAAATGGAAAAGGAGCAGAGTTTACCTCCTGTTAAGGAGGACGCGATTCACCAGACCAGCAAAGATCCTAAGAACGAAAGCGGATGTTTAATACAATAAATTGCTTAACGTGCACCATCGCAGGCGATATAAATTCTCTTTGTAATATTTCTTTATACAAGCGTCGACGCTAAGTATTGTCACAACATTAACGCATTAATTTATTTCGCAAAAATTTGTACACGCGTTTAGTAAAATGCAAAATGACTCAGTATTCGCTTTTAGCATTTAAATATTTCTGATTCGAGTAATCGCTGATACGTGTTCGTAAACAGTCTAACTACCGCAAAAATTAAGTTGCAGTAAAAGCTACCATTAATTGTAAAGAGAATACATTCGTTATAGAATGTACTTTCTATATTTTTATTCTGTTGATTTATATAATTTACATTTGTGCAATTCTAGTTGTGTAAATAATAATATATGATTTTAAATCCCGTTTCTATACATTTCTATACACACAATGATCAACTGCTTGCTTATTGTCGCTAACAAGAAATGTTTGAAACAGACGCTGCCACTCTAATTTGAATATTAATATTTCCTTGCTGCGTCGACGCCTTAGAGCACAAACGGAAGTAGTTCCATAGGTACACTTGTCTAGGGGAAACCAGGGAAGTGGCTCGTCGTAAAGCCTGCAGGAGAATGAGGAGAACTCTCGCACACTTATCACACTCTCACTCCGATACCATTCGATACAAGCAGCTGGCCATCGGTGGCTCGTGCTCGTGTGAACGTGAACACTGAATGGTAGTCGTAAGTGTGACGTCGTGAGCGTCGTGACTTGTGACCGTGTCAGTCCGTCAAACCGTGTATCGTCGTGCTGATCGTGCACCGTCTCGTACGAAATGACGACCATAAGAATGTAATTCTCTTCGTACGAGCGAATAATTTTACTTATATTCACGTTCTGCTGCAGTGTCAGTAACTGTGAAACAAGCCTCGCAAATTCTGTATAGTAATAGATTAATTAAGGATTCCGGAATTCATATTCTGCTTCCTCGACGGTGCCTAAGGTTACTCGCAAGAATAGTGAAAGTAGTTCTGGCGTCTTTGACCTAATTAAAGTTCCTTTTGTCCATTTGGATAGAATGTTCTTTTGTCACATTCCAAAGTAGAATTTATTCGTTACGTAATAATAATTGTCATTTATGATATCGTGTCGCGATCGACGTGGAGAAGAATAGGAATTTAAATTACCGCAATGACGAGCACGGACACACGTGACGTAATCCGAGTTGGATCTCGGAAAAGCGAGGTAATTAAACAAAATTTTAACCGCGTCTTTTAAGGGTCGACGGTGATAGGAATTGACGTAATGCTCTCGATATTTCATACGGCAAAAATTTAGATGTTTGAACATACAATAATGATAAGGGCAACAAGTGCATAAGCATACTCGTCCGATCGCTGTAATTTGTGAACGGTGTGAGAAAGGACAAGAAATTTTTGCTCTTACGCGACGAGCCTGTCTCGTAAGACGATAGATATACAGATGTCCACCTGTAAAATGTCACAGCAGACGATATTTCAAATGATCGTCAAAATTTGTGTACCGTGTACGGAATATTTGTTGCACTTGAGTTTCGCATTAGTCAGCAGTTTTAATTACCGCGTTATCATTACTTTATCTACGCTACTCTATATGTTTATGTCGAACATTAAACTTATTTTATATTTTCAAAACGAATGAAAATGTTTCTTCGATGAACCATAAAGATTAATATATTTCAAATCGTTCTAAGAAGATATTGATATCATTTTAGTTGGCTCTGATTCAAACGAAACACGTGATAGAATGCTTAAAGGAATACAATCCGACGAAAGAATTCCAAATAGGTAAGTTGAATCGTATTTACGATCATTTATTTTTAAATGCTAATACGTTATATAATTGTTTCTAAACTATATAAATGATACATTTTCGATCGTACGTTTACATAAGAGCGTTCAGTGAATACTTTCTCTCATGGGTTTTCCGTCGAGTCCTCATTCGAGCTTTTAATAAAAGTTGGAACTTGATCGAACGTCTTTTGATGTTTAGTCACGATGTCGACCAAAGGAGATAAAATCTTAGATAAATCTTTACCAAAGATCGGGGAGAAGTCGCTGTTTACGGAGGAGTTGGAACTAGCTCTCGAGAGCGGTCGTGTTGATTTTGTGGTGCATTCGTTGAAAGATTTGCCAACGACTTTACCAGCAGGAATGGCTTTGGGCGCAATATTGAGGTAAATATACATTTCGATTGAGGACGTTAGAACGACGTACACCGTACAGCTTATGATTCCTACTTCTCATATGGATCGCTATGTATTCCAAAATGGTAGTTTCTACATTTAAAATTTAAATCTCGAATGAAATTATCATACGCGTGATTGAAGAAACGCAGCGCATACGTAAAACGTACATTGTTTACGTAGAAAATATTCCGCTAAAGATTCGTCGGTTGTACGCGCGCACTTGACTTCTATAAGCAGGAAAACGGGAATTGTGGCTCGACGGATGATATAACGCGTTAAACATTATTTTAGACGCGAGGATCCACGCGACGCGGTCGTTATGTCGAAGAAGTACAAAGACAAGACGTTGTCCACTTTGCCAAAGGGCAGCGTCGTTGGTACCAGTTCGTTACGCAGATCTGCTCAATTAGCTAGAAACATGCCGCACTTAAAAGTGGAGAATATCCGTGGTAATTTAAATACACGATTGAGGAAGTTGGACGACGAGGACGGTCCCTTCGCGGCGATCATTTTGGCAGCTGCCGGATTGAAGAGAATGAACTGGGAGAACAGAATAAGTCAGGTAATTCTTGGCCAATGTCGACCGCGCTATACGTAATTTCTACAAGGCATTTAATTGCAGCTGTTAGAACCGGAAGAAGCGTTGTACGCCGTCGGCCAAGGTGCCTTAGGAGTCGAATGCAGAGAAACGGACTGGAAGATACTGTCTCTTTTGGAACCGCTGCACGACGTAGATACGACCTTAAGATGCGTGTCCGAACGTTCTTTTCTAAAAACGTTGGGCGGTGGTTGTTCGGCACCAGTTGCCGTTTCCACAACCTTACAAGAGAAAACTCTGACCATAACTGGCGCCGTATGGTCATTGGACGGACAACAATTGATCAAAGATACGTTCAAGAGTAAACTTTACATACCCGATGACGATGGAGAGCCTCCGAAGTAAGTAAGATCATGAGCGAAAAAAGAATCGACGAAGTACGTCGTTACTACGATCTGTGTCATTTTTGTTACAGGAAATGTCCGTATCGAGAACCTAAACTTTACTGCAGTGTCGCACCTGGCAAAGTGAGCTATTTGAGTCTAACGGGTGCAGAACTCCTTGGTAAAGATCTCGCGAAAAGTCTTATAAAGAAGGAGGCGCTCGATGTGATGGCTCAGGCGAGAAATGAAATTTTACAATCGAAATAGCGCGGAAAAAATTAGTTTTGTTGATGATAAATACGAATTCTAGGCGTAAGTAAAATTTCGTTTCGGTATTCCATTAATTTAAGCAAGAATCCTAGAGCAATTATTTATGAAAGAAATCCGGTATGTTTCTCATAATTTAATGAGATCGCTGTTATGATCGTTATTCGTTATCGTTATCTCGCAAATATTATTTCACTGCCATGCGTAACATTTACGTTAAAGAAATCTCGTGCTATTTACAATGATTCACAAAGTTCAACGTATTCGAATAAAGTCACGATTGAGCAGCTACGCTTCGAGTTTGCTTACAAACGTGTAAATATAGTTTTTTACGAAAAATATCATTATCAAGAAAACTATCAATCATGTTACAATGAGATATATGTTGAAAGAATATTATTTACATTTAACGAATTTACGAAATATATTTGTAAGATATTGTATACCGTTATTATTATGTATATTGTGGGGAATTAAAAGAATATGAAAGAACGTATATCGGACTCTCTTCCTTTCGTGAACGGAGAAAAGAATTATATCGCAACGTTTCCTTTATTCGATCGAGATTCGTGTAATTTTTAACAAAGAACGATGACAAGATATTTGATTTTCCGCGCTGATATAATTGTAATCATTATAAATTGTTACCGAACAACTTCACTAGTTTTCTATTTATGACGTTACACGATAGGGTGCAGATTTCAATGAAGATCAGTTTGAAGCACAGTGACACGAAGATGAGAAGAACGAATCTTTCTTATACTTTTTAGATCGTTATAAGAATAGAACATTTCTTATATAAAAAATAATTATAAAGTGATATGCGAGTGTTAACTATTGGAAATAATGTCACATTTATATATGTATGTACATACGCTTACGACGGTACATGTATCGTAAAGATATCAATTTCGTAAGATAGATTCATTTTATTATTGCATAGATTTGTGCAAATTCTATAAAATATATTCGTCATGAATATACATATATGTATAGTTTTATAACAATGGTATTCTTCTAAGCTACAGTTTGTAAATACTTCCAGCAAATGATAGATTACGTTTCACATAAATTCCTTACAAGTTAAATGGAGAACAGCGATCAGCGAATTAAAATTATTCTGAGATTTATTTACGAGACCGAATAGTTTGCTACATGTTGTCGCCCGGAACAAGATCGATTACACATCGCTCCTTAATTACTCTTTCCGCCTCTTCTTCGTATTTCAATGAATATCAACAATTTGAACGTAAACTAAAGATCTAGGCACATCGACTTACACACATTTTTTATATTCGTGGCAGTCGAAACGAATACAAAAGTTTTCTATTTAAAATTTCAGTGCGCACAGATGTATCACATTAATATACACTTATTGAGGAGCATGGAAGTTTAATTAAGGAGAATAGAATGTATGATTTAACAGCACGACCGGACCGAAGCTACGCAAAAGTCTACGTCGTCAAAAGAAGCATACACTTTCAGCTAATTGTTAGATTTTATTTGGAAATATTCAACGCAATTTATATAGTATTTTATTCAAGCTCATCCTCGGCCATTGCGATTTGAGTCGGTAGTTTCTGTAACAATAAGCGGTAAGTCTCCCTACCCTGCTCCTGTTCCATGACGTAACGATTCGTTCGAATATCTTACCTGACTGATAACTGGTAATCGCTGTAACAATAGGTGGAAAATTTGTGGCGGCAGTGTTCTTTGGAGTACTTGTAACAATTGCGTCGGCTGTCCACAAACCGCGACTGCGTTCCCTAAGTGTTCGATTCCACCCTCGACGTCGCCGCACGTGAGCATCTCTTCCCCAAGTTGAACCTATAAAATGCATATGAAAAATCACGTAGTAAAATGATTATCGGTGCATAGCTCTGACTCTTAACATTTCATCGACAAACACAATGTCGACTCACCTCTTGTAAGAAAAATCTTTGTACAACTTCGTGATCCTTTAAGTCGTGGAGTTTCGAAGTAGCATTCTGCGCCTGTTTCTTTGCTTTCCTACCTATAAATATAAAATAAAAATATCATGCTTCATATATCCAAGGGATGTACAGAGGTAATAATACAGACGATGCAACAACATGTAACGTTCATGTTTCACCACTGAGACATTAACGGTTGCATCTTAAAAATAAATATATATAAAACCAATGGAACGAAACCGACGAAAAATAATTGGGAACGAACGTGAAACGATCTTTGTTATTAAAATGAACCGACAGAATTGTACCCACGTAATTGTACATGAAATCGAGCGGGGAATCGATGCGACGCATGCATGGGGATCACATGGTTTCAGATAATTTGTAACGTGATGAGAAAATCTATAGCTCGGACTTACGTTCACGCAATTTCTTTTTGAAATCTGGATCGCTACGACGCTTTTGATCGAAGTAAAAACAGTATCCAACAAATATTCCAGCTATGCCAACAGCGATGCCCACTGCAGCCTTTGAAATCATGGTCATTTTAATATAGAAATTTGTATCTTGATAATGACGAAATTTACAAACTCCTCATTGCACCTAGGCCACCCTAGAGAAGGCCGAGAAGGCTGCGTCTGCTACTAAACGCACGGAACTTGCCGACAGAAACAGAATTTCGACATCTGGTTCAACCGGAACGACGTATTACGATAATTAAATTCCCTATGCTACTCACTCATCGCGTTCGTCTAAAAGAATGAATAAATATAACATTTACGATATCTTTTATTATCGAGACGAGAATTAATAGGAGATGAAACGTATAGGATAGGGAGATCTAACAGTTCTGCTACGAGAGTTGCGAGATGTTCATTCGAATACACATATACATAATACATAGATAGAGAATACATATATATGGAGACATAGACATAGATCGAGAATGCGCGGCAAAATAATGGAACAATAATGGAACTTGAGGATCACGCGAGACACGAGACACGAGTGCTAATTTGTAACGAGAAGTCAAATCGTTAACTTCAACGGAAATGCCACTAGTACGAAGACCTATGCGATATGCACATCCGGATGGACACACAGATGTTTGCTATTTTACTGGCGAAAAGTAAGCCAAAAGAAATCGTAAGACTCTTCTACGATTTGCTACTGTAGCAAATGCAGATGAACGCGAAGGATTGGTTTCATAGTGTAACAGGACAGGAGAAGAGAATAAGGTAACGTTATAAAAAGAGACTTATATTTCAGGAGGGGATTGGTTACTTGCGGATCCGATGGAGACGTACGATCCTGGTTGAATTTAATGGACGATGATCCTACTGCAAGCTGTGTTTCAGAGCAAGCGATATCAGTCATATCAAAGGTACTGATATCCTCTTAATGTCACCTACCAAATTTAGCTCGATGTCGTTTACCAATAGCCACAACTCCACAATATTTTTGAATGATTTTAGAATGGCAAAATATATGTCGGGAACGACAATAACACGGTCCAAATCCTCAATTACCCAGACCTCGAGAAAGAAGGAATAGTTACGAGATTCTCAGCGTCGGTGTCCGCATTGGCAACGACGAAGAATAGTAATATGATCGTATCTGGGGGATGGTATGTGAGATGCAGCTTTTTACGTTTAATTAATACGAACTATAGTTCTACAGCACTTGTATTATTATAGCGACATGAGAATTCAGGTGATCGATATTAGTACCTCGGATAATATAGAACTATCAGGACACGAAGCTCCGATACTGGGTTTATCTCTAGATCCGAAAGAAGAATTTGTGGTAAATGATGAGCTCCATCATCCTTTCTTTTGTTCCTCTTAGAGAACTTATGAATGATCGTTTGAACTAGGCATCGTCCAGCGCTGATGGTTCGGTACGAGTATGGAATGTCAAAGAAAAGCGTGTAGCACATATTTGGCCTAACGTAGTACCCAAGTCTAACTCGTTTTTTACGGCTAAAACATACGGCGTGCCTTCTTTCCATCCTAGAGATGGAGCCTGGCTTGCGTTTCCTAATACAAAAGACGTCGTTCTGGTCGAACGATCTTCATGGAAGGAATCGTTTCGTTTAAAATGCGTTAATATAAAAAGTGTATGTTGTTTTATTCGTTTATCTTTATCGATATTAATCATTCAAAATGCACATCGGGTTTCACGCGTGTCCTCTAACGTTACGTCTCCAATATACAGGAAATTAGTATATGTAAGTTTTCTGAATGCGGTACGTTGATAGCTGCTAGCACAGTGCAGGGAGAGGTAATCGTTTGGAACGTAGAAACTAAGGAGTTGATCGGTTACATCGAGCACGAACAGAAAACTAAAATCACAGGATTATCGTGGAGCATCGATAAATCCGATGAGATCGCCTTCTGCGATGCGTTGGGTCAATTAGGCTGCCTCGATGTGGTACGTGTGTTCGCGCACTCTTGCTTGTGAAAATACGTATACAACGCTGATCGTCGAATCTGTCTAGATAATTCCCGACAAGGCATCGACCGATACGATAACGGCCGAAACAAACGGGGACGTGAAAGACCTCGAAATCCCGGAAGGAGAAGAGGAAGACGACGATGACGGCGAAAATATTATATCTCTGAACAAGATTAAAGCGTCCGTAGTAGCTGACGATGACCAAAAAAGTGAAACAGATGCGGCTTCCGAGAAGTCGAAACATGATAGAAATGCCTTCGTTCCGGAGATCAATTTACAACCACCGTTTCAACCTGGGTCCTCTCCGTTGCACGTGTTATCTCGCTTCATGGTAAGGTTTGTTCGCTGGAGTGTCATCGTTCATATCTTTCGATTCGCTTGAACATAATATTAATTTCGCGCAGGTGTGGAACGATACGGGTATGGTAAGATGTTTCACTTCGGAGGATGGCGAGGAATCTAGTATCGAGGTGGAGTTTCATGACGCGTCGATCCATCGCAGTATGCATATTAATAATTATTTAAGACACACGATAGCTGCTTTATCGCCGCAAGCACTCGCGTTGAATTGTCCCTCGTCCGGTGATACGCGCAGCAAGCTGGTCGTAATAACGTTACAAGGTTCTAATCTCTGTTCATATTCGTTGTTCGTACCGTTCTCGAAAAGTAATTAACCCGGATTGATCGAAAAATAGGTTGGGGTTCAGGGAACAAGGAATGGTCTTTGGATCTTCCCGAAGACGAGGAAGGGCATTGCGTCGCCGCTGGTGATAATTTTGTAGCGCTTTCAACGTCCAGGAGACATTTAAGAATTTTTACTGTGGGAGGTACACAACGCGAAGTCGTCAGTCTGTCCGGCCCCGTGGTTGCAATGAACGGGCAGAAAAATGATCTAGTAGTCGCTTATCACAATGGAATAGGTAATTTTCTTCGTATCTCAATAGTCGTCGTTTTTTACTATTGTAACGAAATGAACGTATTTAAATAGGAGCATTGGGCGATCAGTGTATGAATTTATCGATAATACAAATTAGGGGAATGAATTTATACAGTAGAACCGTAAACCTTCCTTTGTCGCCATCGTCGGAATTGATGTGGCTAGGAATGACGGATCATGGATCACCGGTAACGATGGATGCCGACGATGTCATCAGAGTTTACAGTAAAAACTCTTCTCTGTGGAAAGTAGCTAGTGATCTGAGCCAGGAGGTAATTCCTATTGTACATCATATTTTACGTAACAGGAATCTCACACTCGTTACTGATCGATTTTAAATGGTAAAAGGCTAAAGGCAAAGCGGATCATTATTTCCTGATTGGAATAAGCGAAGAGCAAGGTATGGCTCGATGCATTTTGTGCAAAGGAAGTCATTATCCTCCGACTACTCCGCGTCCCGTGGTCGCGGAAATACCTCTGACTCCGCCGCTCTGCGATTGCACAAGCGAGAAAACTGAAAAGGAATTGAAACTGTGGGGATTGGGAATCGATCATTTGGAAAAGGAGGAATCAGTGCTGTCTCTTATCGCGGTACGTTTGACGATTATTGAACCACGTTTATTCAGTTTAGAAGAATGCTCATTAAATGTATGCGCTTATAGCTCGCCTGTCGAAGTAATTTGGAGTATCGAGCGGTAGAACTGTGCGAACAAATCGCGACTGAGAAAGTCATAGAATTAGCAATCAAATACGCGCGGAGAATAAATCGAATAGCGTTAGCCAACAAAATCGAGTCAATCGCCGACGCGAAGCAAGAGGAGAGGGAAAACGAGAGGGAAACGAGTAACGAGAACGATGTGGAACATATCGAAAATGATAACGGATCGTTGGGTGATGATACCCAAGGGTCCACGGTTTCGTTGTTTGCAACGAAAAAGCCGAATATGGAAATTAAACCGTTATCCGTGACCGAAGCACTGTCGGCAAGAAGAAGCAATCCTTTCTCGAAGGGTGGAAATTCTCCAACGACGAAAGGTATACTTAAATCACACTGTTATATCCACGACTGTTGAATAAATCGCGTTTTGCAAAATAGGACTGGCTGGTTTAGACGTGACTCCGGACAAACCTCAAAAGTCTATTACATCGACGTCTTCGATATCTGCTTCGAAATCCAAGACGAATAATGCGAGGAAAAAGGAAACGTTCATCGGTTGGTATGCTAAGAACAAGAAGAATTTGCAAGCGGAGTTTCCCGAATTGAGTCCTACAGAGTTGACGAAAACAGCTTTGATGAAGTTTAAAGAGAAGGAGGCAAGTTCGCAAGACAGCAGTCCACCTTCGCAACCTTTGGAATCTAAAAAAAGAAAGTTGAGCCCACAACACGATCAGGACACCGAGCCGAAGCGAATTTCGAATCAAACGCTCCGCGACTTTGCGTTTGATAAATAACTTTGAAATGTAGAAAAACGGTTTTAAATATTTTATAAGAATCAGTATTTATTTGGTACGTAATATTTATTTTTTTAAGAATGTGTTTACTCGTGCTCGCAGTACCACGTGATCAGGAGATATTCCGATAAAGAGATCTTAGGCATCGATAAGGTAGAGCCTTCTTAAATAGTTATTTGCATCTCGATTATTGTATCACTACACGTGTACCGATAAAACAGGCAAAGCCGTAGTATCCGAGGTAATTTCAGTTTGCTCGAGTCTCTCGGCGCAAGTTGAACATTTTTTAAACGCGCTCCAGCACGTACGGTCGTTGCACGGTGATGATAATCGCGTAGAGACGAGATTCAGATATACGAATTTTCAATCCCGATGCTCGAAAACGCGATGAAGGGTGAGTGTCAATACGTTTGCCAGAGTCCTAAATTTATATCTAAAATTATCGTTTTGAGCGCGACCGAATCTAAATATACATTCATTTCCGTGGTTGCAATCCGCGCGGTAACAATAAACGCTGTTATACATATGTATGTGTAAGATTCTACGAGTATCCGTTTATTCGAGATAATATTTTACCGTCTGTACATTTCCCGCGCGATCGAAAAAATCGGAACGAGTTCCTAACGTACGGACATTCGTAGAGTCACCTACGTACATCATGTACTACATACATACGTATCTTTATTTTCAGAACACGTCCCATTAGACGTGATACAAAATGCTATGGGCTCGATGGGCCCATGGCACATCGTTATTGCCATAGCACTGTCTTTCGTCAAATTTCCCGTTGCGTGGCATCAGCTTTCCATCGTGTTTCTTGCCCCGCCGACTAATTACTCATGTGCCGCACCGTTCTCAGTGTCTAACGAGTCAACGATAATGAAATGCTATATCGACGTTGGGAACGGCACCATGAAGAAATGCACGAGTTTCAAGTACGACAAACGCGTGTTCAAAGAAAGCATTATAACTCAAGTAATTTCGATCAGTCGACCTCATCGAGTATGATGAAACGCGCGAGCAACTGCTACTGTACGTGTACAAATATTTTCAGTGGGATCTGGTTTGCGATAAAGAACAATTAGCGAATTTCGTACAATCATGTATCATGTTCGGGGTGCTTATCGGTAACATGGTATTCAGCATGATGGCTGACCGGTATGTATAGGAAATCGAGAAGGAGCTGAGATTATTAAAACTCAGTTGTTTCAGGATCGGCAGGAAAAAGCCTTTGATGATCGCAATAGGACTGCAATCGATAAGTGGATTTATAAGCGCGTTCGTTCCATGGTTCGAATTGTTCGTACTATTTAAATTTACTTCTGCCGTGGCCACCGGCGGCACCATGCTGGTCAGCTTCGTTCTACGTAAGAAATCGCCGTAGTAACATGATCCAAGAGCGAAATTGTTTTTAACGCCTCCGTGAAACGCTTTTGTAGTCATGGAGATCGTGGGGGTGGAGTGGCGGTCAATTATCTCTGTCCTCTTTCACGTGCCGTTCTTACTAGGCTACTTGATGAACCCTCTAATTTCGTATTTAACACGTACGTGGGACGGTTTTCAAATGGCAGTTTCGATACCATCGCTTTTTCTATTATCGTACTACTGGTAAAAATAATCGTCGAAACTCGTCGATGCAGCGGAATTTCGAACACATAGATCTCAGAAAAACTTGTACACGTTATAGGATCATACCCGAATCACCGAGGTGGCTGCTTGCCGTCGGCAAGCCATCGAGAGCAGAACAAATTCTAATGAAAGCGGCTAACCGAAATAAGATACCGATCGAAAACGTTAAAACTGCGATCGAAACATATCACGACGTAGGAGGTCGTAATAAGCGAAACAAAGAGAAATACAATATCACGCATCTGTTCAGAACTCCAAATCTGAGATTGAAAACTATCTGCATTTGCATCAATTGGTTCGTGTGCGGCAGCTGTTTCTTTGGACTCGCGCAATACATGGGGTATATCGAAGGGAACATTTTCGTGAACGTTGCCGTCTCGGGTATGTCGAGGAACGAACCCACGGTTCAAGCTTTCATTTAACGAACGTGTAATTTTTAGCCGCTGCCGAACTACCAGGGACGATAGTAGTTCTACTTCTGATATCGCGTGTATCACGTTTGAAAATCCTGATGGGTGGAAACATTTTATCCGCCGCTAGCTTACTCTCGCTGGCCGCCCTGTCGAATTCGAACCTTACGGTGTTCTTAGCCACGCTGGGTCTCGCGGGAATGTCGCTCAGCTTCCCGACGGTGTATCTGTACAGCGGCGAGGTATTTCCAACAGTGGTCAGAAACGTCGGCGTCGGTCTGGGAAGCGTCTGTGCAAGAATCGGCAGCATGATCGCACCGTATATCGCAACAATGGTTCCTCTGCTCTTGCGTGTACTATACACCTCGCGCTGATCTCCATATGCGTACAACTCGATGTTCTTTTCGCAGGGAAAAGTACGACCCTGGCTACCACCGTTAATATTTGGAATTGGCCCCTTGATCGGTGCATCCTTATGTTTCTTGTTACCGGAGACGATGAACTGCGACTTACCCGAGTCTCTCGAGGACGGTGAAAACTTTGGAAAGTACGACGTAGACCATATACCACGGTAACATTTGAGTCTCTGCACCGTTTTATCCTCGAAAAATTTTGCAGGAAACAAGCCGGGCGAAACGTGGCAAAATGATATTTAAAAAAATGTTTGTTCGTTGACTGAACGCGTAAGTGCGCGCGTGAACCCAATTACTCTGAGAAATAATTTTACATTTATAATTTAAAATTACATTTTTATTATAATCATATATTTATAAAATGTTATTCAAGGCGATCCTTAAATTCGTTTTAATGTATCAGATCTATGTACACTTTAATACTATAATTTATGGTACGTATATTAATGAGCGAGCAATAGATTACTTACGTATCTGTTAAAAAAATGGTATGTAAAAATCTGTAACTACATACGTAGAAATCAGCCTCTTTTCGTGTTCGCGTCCTCAAACAAAATCAATTGTCAGACGGTACTTATTGTTAGTCATCAGACTTTGCATTCGATTTTGGTGGGATTTAAACTGACAGTCTGGCCCAGATAAAGCACTTTGTTAGGTATGATGCCGATCACGTCGCTGGTTCTTCTATGAACAGCATCCAGCATATAAATGCGGAACTTGGCACCGCTATTGCTCAGAGATCCGAGCAAAGAAGACATTATAGTTTTCGGTGGACTTTTTTCCGCGTTCAGCTTCGTTGCACCTAGAATACATTTTCCGCATGATTTAGTACCGAGTTATAAATCGGGGTGAAACGACTCACCCATGAGAAACTTTAAAATCGCTTCGTTGACGATATCCGGCTTCTGTTGATGCGGGAAGTGTTGAGCTCCCGAGATCACTTTCATATGAAATTTGTCAACGTATTCGGTACTCTGTACTATGTTCTCTATTGTTAAAATCGGGTCCATGTTCCCGACTACGAGCAAAGTCCTCGTAGATATCTGATCACAAGTTTCGGTGTTGAGTCTTATAAACGGAAGATTTCGGTAATAATTAATAGCGCCCGTCCAGTCTTCTGTAATCAATAATTCCTTTTATTGAAACTATATACTATTACTATTGAAGTCCCCGCGGTCAATACCTTTTCTACTGAACGCGTATTTATATGCTTCTACGTAAGTCTTTTTAGTGGTCGGACCGTTCAACTGAAGATGTTGGAACGCGTCATTTATGACCGATAAGTCCTCCTTAAGGGCATCGATCTCTGGAAGGAATGGCAGTCTACTGAAGTGTACCCACCTGAAGCGATCAATATGTAAATCGTCGCGTCGGACGTGTGTCCTATGTTTATGAAATCTTACTTTAAATCGAACACGGAATCTCCTGACCTTCCGTTCCAATAGAAATTAGGATGCGGGCTTGAAATCGCGACGAATTTCTCTATCATATCCTCGTACAAGGCCACCATGTACCATCCTAAGAGACCCCCGAGATCGTGACCGATCACGTTGAATCGTTTTACTCCGAAAGTTAAAACGAACTGCTTCAGCTCTTCGATTAAAACTTCGATCTTATAAGAACTCTTGGCTGCCGGTTTGTCGCTGTCCCCGAATCCTTTTAAATCTATGGCTACCACTCTGTAATGTTCGGCGAGGCACGGGATCTGCTCTCGCCAGGATAACCAGCAGTCAGGAAATCCGTGTAGAAGCAACACAAGCGGTTTACTTTTGTCTCCAGCTTCGACGTAGTGAAATTTTACGCTCTAAAAAGGGAAAGAGAACTATTAATGGATCTATCGATTGACATCGACCGAGTCCGCCAGACGTATATGTGCATAAGCAAAAGTAATATGTGTATGTATACGTTGCGGAGAGTTTATCAGGGGTCGAGCATTACTATGATTATACATGTTTTTTAAACTAATACGAGTTTCGTTCGTGCCCTATTTTCGCACCACATAATAAACGTTAAATTAGAGGATAACAGGTGAATCAGCTTACCTTTATCTTCACATAAGAGTGAGCACCTAAGTTATTGTCCACAAGACAAGGTGGTGGTTTATCTCGTTGTTGCATCATGAAAAATTTCTTGGGATTCCAAAGCCACTTAGAAAATCTTTTTACTATTAAATAGAAACCATAGGCGAACGAGAGCACGTGTAATTTTACTATTTCCGAGATAGATACGCGAACAATCTTATCGCTCTTAATCATGACTGACGAGATGAAAAAAAAACACTTTCTCTGAATTGAGGTGTAAATCTTCGACTCGAATTGATTACATTGAACGAGCGAATAATATTCCGATATCTTTATATACGCGTGTATCACTGTACACATACACGCGAACGTTTAGCACGATACCGTGCACGTATACATTTGTTAGGAACAACACGTACGCGGAGGAAAGAACTGTCCACGGGTCCAATGATCTAGATGTTTGTCTCGCATCACGTAGATCAAAATCGTTGAAATGAGACGTGGATCAGACGTAGAACGTGACTTTACACTTTCGATCACGTCGACAACGTACTATTGACTCATGTTGTCTTCTTCGAACCGCTTTCACCCTACGTATAATGCACCCGTATCGCCAAATACGTACATGTACGTGTCAATATACTTATAGTTTCTTATCGAACGGGATTCATCGTGAATACAGAGAATTTCTACCTCCGTCCTGCACGAACCGTCTATTCCTACTGACTCAAATATATTTTATTCGTTGTAAATCAATCAGTTGAACTGAAATGATTCCACGTCTCTCATCCCTGGTTTTTCCAGTTTCTCCTTTGTGTCCTTTTCCGTTCAGGTCTCGAGACATACAGATCCTCCCTGAACGTGTCATAAGTAGGGGCAGAGACGGGAAGACCATCCCGCAAAGCTTCACAGCCAAAGATTAGTCTACCGATTTGCCGGATAATAAAATCAATACTTGATTACAAAAACTGATGAGAAAACTTTATTCGTGTACTTCACGTCTCGCGTTCACATATTCGGAAATTTCTGTACATCGATAAATAAGGCAGATATCTTATGATTGTATCGATAAATTTAATCGGTTTTATCAATTTTGACACGTGAGATACATACACGACTGGTATGTATATTAAACGATTTGTTAGTTGTTTATTACGTTCATGAAACACGTGCAAAATACCGAATGGTAACGATCGTAAGATCGATAGAAAATAGGAGATTTGACGAGCATCGTTACAACTTTATACATATTGTAAAATGATAGTGCAGAAGTAGTCTCGAATCCTTTTTGGTCACTTTCGTAACAAGATTCGTTTGTGGAAACGCACAGCATCTACATACAACGGCTACGCAACGTTTGATGCGGTTTTATAGGAAAACTCACTGTGCTCCTCGCACGCGTAATTTAATAGCAGGACGTTTGAAACGGAATAAATAGTATAAAAGTAAGATAAAAATCATTTAGGATTGCTATTGGCATGCATAGGTCAGCGAGAAGAGTATGGAATGTAAGTGAACGGTAGCTGTACATGCATATATAGGTATATAATACAGGATCGTAAATAGAAATCGATGATATCGGTTCTCGTGGAAGTTGGAAAGCCTACGCACTCGTACATAATACGTAATCATAATCTCTTATCGAACGCATTGACTACCTACATTATACTTTGTCCTGTTCTCTTTCTACGGAGAAAGAACATGTTCCCTCATCCGCGTGGTCGCCCAATCGTTTTTAACTTTAAAATATTCGATGACTATCTCAATGAAACGTGTAATAGAGTTTCAAAAGGAAAGCTAATGACATACTGTATACTTACGTATAAAAAAAAAGAAAAAAGAAATAGAAGACTCGTTTACACGTATGGCACTGCTAAACGAAAAACTGATCCATTTTCTTCACTGTAGAGAGCATCGATCATTCGTCGACGAATAATTAAATCTTAATCGAAATGATCATAGAATTGTGCAACTAGGAAGTTCTCCGCGTTTTGCATTCATATGAGTATTAAAATATTATAAAATACGTTAGAAAAATTCTAGATTTCAAATCTATACGTTCGACATGCGACTCGATGAACTAGTATTCACTCGATGAGCGACCTATCATTTGCACTTGCTTTTACCGTCGAGCAGTTTCTTCCACAGATCGAACTGTTCGCTGTACTTCACCATGTGAATACTGATACTTCGTTGAACGTTGCACGCGCTGTACGATATTTTCTTATTTAAAAACTCGTTCGCATGCGTTCTCTTTATTCCCAGCTTATCCGCAACTATCCCAGTGACAAAGACGTCTTCCAGTTTCAGATATGTTTGATCTAACGCAGCATCGTACAGTTTACGAACGATGTCACTGGATAGGAGATAAGCCGGGCCGGTGGTGAAGTCCGGGAAGATCGCGCGTTTGAATTGCGCTTGGGACACGTAGTATTTGCTCTTTTTATTTCTAATTGGTTTCCATTTTTTAGCTAGCCTACCAAATATCACGTTCTTGTCTTTCACGTGCCTCGCCGTGAATGCTTGCAGGCGCGGAACGTTGATGAACATGTCGTCGTCAGTCTTAAGGAGAAACTTCACCTTGGAACAGTAACTGTCTACCCATTCGAGGGTAGAGATCGTTTTAAGCGTCAGATTAGAATAGGAATCTATAAATTTTCCGCGTATCACATCGTTGTAAGTCTTTTGTTCTTTCTTCAATATGCTCTCCACCTTCGAGTCAACGGTCGCACCTAACATGAACAATATACTGACGTCGTTCCTTTGGCCGTAATGACCCCACGTTTGCCTGATCGCCATCCTGGCGTCCAGGTGGGTCGGCGCGGACATTATTATTATGACCAGATCCATTTCTCTACCGAAGTTAGGGCACCTTTCCGGAATCGGTACCGCATGGCCAGCCTCGTAGATAGCCCTCGCGGAATATTCGTTAGTACCAGGTAGGGGGGTGTCCTTGGTCTCGTTCGCTGTCTTTTCCGACATCTTCTCGCTGCTCTGTTTTTTGACGACGACCGACACGCTCGCGGATGAAAACATTTGTGAACTAGAAGTCGACTGCACCGTGACCACGGAACTGGAAAGCGTGCTGATATTTTGCACGTTGTAAAAGCCGGCAGAAGGCTCGGGAGAGTTGTTCTTGGACGAAGGCGATACGCGGTACTCCGTGCTCGCGTTCGATCCTTGCCTGTAGAGCTCTTGGAACGCAGGTCGACCTGAATCAGATATTTTTATGCTAGTATCTATTCGAAGTTTAAACGAATTCGAGCTCCCCTGGTATACTCACTGATATTCCGAGGCGCGGCGTATTCAGAGACGTCGTAGTAGGTGGTTCGGTAATACGCGTAGAAAGTCAAGCCGATCAACCCTAAGGCAAGGGTTCGCATAGGACGACTGCGTAGATGCAGGAGTTGATACATGGCGGTTTCTTTATTTTTTATCACTTCCGATAAAACGAATTGCCTTTAATCCACATCGTGACGACGTAACGGTAATGATTGTCGGAAGGTTGTTCGACGTAACGCGTGCATCGACTCGTCCTCCGCGGATCTTTCTAAACGCTGGCGCCTTGGTTCGAAGCAAATTTTCGGTCGGTGTAAGTATGCGGCTGCGAATCATATTATTCCATCTGGAATCATCGCATACGACGTCTCACGATTTCCCTCCGTCCTTTCTCTCGTCACGTTGAACATGCTTATAAAACAGATGGTCGTTCTCCTCCGGTTTCCCTCGAATTATCGTCGCGCGAACTTCTTCGTCCTTCGTCCTTTTAACCAAGTCGCTTCGACGTTTCACACGTCATCGTAACAGCTGCCACGTATCAATGAAATAGCTCGTTCGCGTTGAATGAGCGAAAAGTAAAAAGCGAAGTCTGACAAGCAACGTGGTGTCACGAGTGTCCACGCGCGTAAATCAACGTCGTTCATCTGTCTCTCCTCGTCTCGTTCGATGAGATTCAACGACGAAAGAAAGAAACGTCACTACTACTGCTATCATCGTGTCAGATAATAAAGAACGTCGAAGAATTCGACGCGTATGCTCTCGACTCGCGATTCTTATTTCTTCTTCGTTCTCGAAGATGTCACTACTACCACCGCATTTGACATTGAGCTCTCATATAGGTCGCCCGTTTGAGCCGACGGGGAACCGAGAAGGACAAGAAGAGTAGCGGACTTGGATCGAGAGCTCTGCGACAGAGGCCGGCCCGAGAGAGATGCAGGACGGGCAGTTCCGGCCTTTTACATCTTCTCCATCGAGCTCTATAGAGCTGAACTCGTTACCTACCCTGTCATAATTACTCGACTTAATATGAACGAAGATGCTATGTAAAATTGGATAGCATTAAATCTCTGAACTATATCTTTGTTCATTATTTTATAACAATATTTTACAAACTCCAGCGCGTTCCTTCTTGATAATAAAAAAGGAACAGTACGAGGGAAATGAAAAGAAAGACGGTTTATAAAAATAGGGGAATAAAATGTAGCGAAGAGAATAAATGTCGAATGGATGGTCTAAGTAATGTCTGTAAGATCGCGCAACGTTTCATCGGAAATGAGAGATTACGCAGTTAGAAAATACATATAAGCGATTGATCGATAACCTATTTTTTCTTGTAGCTGGCGGAGTGCCAGAATTTCAAGTAAATGCGCTGAGCCCGATGGAAATGCAAATGGCGTAACCTCGTCCTGGGTTGAGAGTCGAGAGTTTTATATCTTTATAATTACCGGAGGAAACGAACCGCTCGACGAGCGACGACGATAAAGAAACGAAACGTTCTTTTCTCAATTGTATTGTAGAAATACGTCTGTACAAAAGAAAGACTATTCATGAACGTCAGTTGTTCTTATTTCCATTCTGTAATAGCTCCCAACCGCAATAGTTCCATTCAGATGTTTTCTGATCGATTGAAGAGTTCCGTACAGCGACGACTTTAAATACGCGTCTACGTGGATGAAACGGGTATCTAAAAACTTGTTACCGTTCATTCGGTGTCTAAAACTCGAGACTCCAGAAAGAATCCACTTGACCCAAAACAGCCAACGAGTCGTGTGGTACACGATAAAAGTACACAGTATACGTGCACGGGTTCGTGTACCGCTACGACCCAAACGGAGGGTTGGTCTTTCAGCAGAGTTCGATAGCTCGGGCCATGTGGAAAAATGTAATGAAACGAAATATGCTTGAATCGTAAAATGCCAAAGAGGTAACAATCGGGAATGCACGGAATGCACGCGTCGATGAACGCATGTATGCAAGTCGTACGTGAAACGAATTCGAATTGTTTGCGAGTTTCGTTCGATTCAACGATGCGCAATCCGACAGAGGAATTTTAGCTTTAGGGAAGAGACGCGCATAGAGGAATTGGAAATAGCGACTTTCAAAGAAAGCAGAACGCGAGGTGACGGCCGACTGACCATCGGGTTACCCATTGACGACCGCGCGTTGCGCCGAGTCGCGCACCCGATCGATGGATGGCCCATTGCCACTTCCTTCTTACTTTTTATTTCCTGCCTCGCCTCGGCCTCTCTTTTCAAGCCTGTCTTCGACACACCCCCGTTTTCTACTACCGTCAGATTCCTACTGTAAGAACACGCTTTCCCTCGGTATGTTTATCGCCCCTTGCAGAAGTTGCTCCTCTAGCTATCATCGCCGAAAATAATGGACAATCGTCGTGACCCATTTTGCGCATCGCCCGCATTTATCCTTTCCACTTTTGGTAAATTGATACTTTTCTAAATTTATTCTCTCCTTTTACGAGCCTAGAACGCCGCGTCTCGTTCCCTCGTACGTTCGTCTCCGTCAAACGCGCCTTCCCGGGCGTCCAGCAGCAGCGATGTGCACCGCGACGGCCGTGTAGGCGTCGGCGTCGGCGTCGGCGTCGGCGTCGGCGCTATCGTTTCAATGGTCGGTCAGTTGACGAATGAAAGCTGTGGGAGTAAGTACACGCTGCTTGTGATCGTCGAGAGTCCAATCCGTCCACTCTCTTTGGAGCTTCGTTCGCGGTTGCTGAACGAAAATCGATCCGACTTCTACGAAACAGTGGGTAACGGAAAAAAGAAACGTCAGATCTTTTCGATCACCGGATCGCAGTGTCGCGTAATCGGTGACGTGAGAAGGGATCGAATCGTCGCAGCGAGGAAGAAGAAGAAGAACTTCGCTTCGGTGTGCGCGGTGCGATAGCATGACCGCTGGACATGACCGCCCGATACTCATTGCTAGGGTCGCGGTGGCCGCATATCGTTTGAAAAAAAGGTTCGTTTCGGTGGGTTTTGTAATAACGATCGACGGAAGCGCAATAGATACGGCACGTGCGCATGTACAAAACAGAACGAGAGTATGAGAGAATGAGACGAGGGAAGATCCGCTCCAACAAGTAGATTCTCAGGTTCTGTGCACGGTGTACGTACATACGATGTACGACACACCCAGACGCAGAGCTGAGGAACGATCTCGTTGGAACAGGTTTCCACGTTTCACGTCGAATCGATAGCGTGTTCACCTTGGGACATCCGATCGATTCGATTCCGCTACGGTCTGCTACACACAGACGGGAATCGAATGTGGCGAGTGCAAAGGGACGAGCGTGTAGCGACGATGATAAGCGTCGCGATCGCGGTAGGGGTCGACGGGGGGGAGGGGAACGCGTGCGAACGATACGCAGCGATGACTCGAAACGACCGACTGACCGACTGTTAATTAGCCAAGGATCCGGTTGTGAGACCGGAAGCTCCAAGTCGAGTTACGACGCGTTTCCTGTATCGCACGAAAATTGCAACGTAGGAGAAGGGTGTGTAGAAGCAGGATAAGAGGAATCGATACGCGCTGCGCCGCACCGTAAAACAGTTCTCTCTGCACCGATCGCGTTCGGTCCTGAGCACGTGCGCTGTTTACAAAGTACGGGGTGTAGGCAGACAGCCGCGACGAAGACGATAGGTAAATCGGGAAACGTGGGCCAACGCCGGTCAAAGACTCTCGGAGTCGTACTTAAACAAGTCGAACTCCGCCAAAGTTCGGTTCTTCGTCACGTCGCTATCAACATTGCGCCATACACGTATGCGTGCCATATGCTATGCGGGTGGTCGCAGGTCGTTACATGCGTTCGTATCAACGTACACGCAGATGGCCTCTGTCCATGCTCGACATTTGAACTATGAGCGAACTGCGGTTCGCGTGTCCGGCACGCGTCTGGGCGCAAGTCGATCGTCGTTGATCGAAGAGGAAGGAAGTAACGCGAGAGCGAGGAAAAGTAAGCGAGTCGAACGGAGACGAACGAACGCCGGCAATCGATATTCGTCGCATCTTCGTTACGCTTCGATGCACGTCCCGATGCAAGTCGCATTTATTTTCTTTCGTTCCGAGTACGAGATCGTCGTGAGTGGACAGGCCGCTGGCCGAAGGTGCACGTTTCAAATTATATCATATCCTTGCGTCACCGCGGAGAGTACGATACGGTGGACGCGCGCCTCGAGGAAGTTTAAAACTACATTGAACGAACGTCCCAATTTTTACTCACCGGCAGATTGCAACGTGAATAAAAATCGGAACGTTTACTTCACGGGTGTCGTAAGCGTTGCGAGACGATTGATTTTTCGCAGGTGTTGAGAGGGAGGATCGTCCGTTCGAACTTAACTGCGAGATCGAAGGTTCGCGGGAAGACGTGTCCGAGAGAAGAGAACAATGATCGACCCAAGCTCATCGGAGGCGGAAAGCGACGAGGACCAGAGTCCTCAGCATGCTGCCGGCGGCAGCGGGAGCGTCAGCGGCGGTAAGGGAGGAAGCGGAAGTTCGTACGGACCACGGCGACAGATCGGTCCCGGAGGAAACCTCGGCGGCGCGAGCGGTTCCGTGTCGGGAAGCGTGAGCTCGTTGGCCTCTCCGGGCGGATCGAGCCACGGACCTTTCGGAACCCCTCGAGCCACCCGGGAGCCCGGTCTGGACGCCGCGCATACCGGCACCTCCGCCGCGAGGAACTCGTTGTCGCCGTCGATGTCGGCTGCTCACGACGCGGCCAATTACGCTCAGAGACCCACGAGTCCATCGCCCTCGGTCGCCAGCGAGAAGACCGAAGCGGATCTCCAGGTAGAATCGTTTGTGAGATTCGACGTTCGTTCGATGTCGGAATCGTTTTTTAGCAGGACAAACAGGAGCGCGAGGAAGAAGAGAGGAAGACGAGGATACAGTTGTACGTGTTCGTGTCGAGATGCATCGCGTACCCCTTCAACGCCAAGCAACCACTGGACATGACGAAACGATTTCCAAAAGTAACGAAGCAACAGTTCGAAACGATATGTTCTCGTTTTCAGGTAAGACAGCCCTTCGACCCTCTTACCTAATCGTAAGCGACCAAATGTACGATGAACGTCTCTGCCTAATGATCGACATCATCGCGCATACGCTCCTTTCGATCGTACATAAGATGCACATGAGTGCACATAAGGACATAAGTGAGCACGTACAGTGAGAGACGCGAGCGATCGAAAGAAACCTTTCGACGCAAGGAACGTAACGCGATGGACGAAGCCGTATTCGCGTGCCGTCTTACGCACATGTCAGCTATCTAATAGATGCATTTAGACGTACACATATACGGCGGCCGACCTTCGCCTTCGCATCGCGTCCGATGCACCCGAGTTGCACGCGATATCGCCCTGTTATACTCATGCCCTTTCCGTTATGATTTACAGAGCTTTCTGAAGGGAGATATTCAGATACAGGCGGACGAAGCATTTCGCAACGCGATTAAAAATTATCACGATGTATTTCTGTCATCGGATCGGGTGATACAGATGGTACAAGGCGGTGCCTGTTCCCAGAACGACTTCAAGGAAGTCTTCAAGGAGAATATAAAGATACGCGTGCTACGGTTCCCGGAGATCGACGGACTGAGCAAAGATACCGTGCTCCAGTCCTGGCTGGCCAAGTTCGACGCGATCATGAAAGGCACGGGAGACGAGGAGACGAAGAGGCCACCGAGGAAGCAGGAGCAGACTCTGATGTCGGAGAACGTGCTGTCCAAGGAGCAGCTCTACGACATATTCCAACAGATCCTCGGGATAAAAAAGTTTGAGCACCAGCTTCTGTTCAACGCCCTCCTGTTGGACTCAGCCGACGAACAGGCTGCCGCCATCAGGAGGGAGCTGGACGGTCGTCTTCAAAAGGTCAACGAAATGGAAAAGGTCTGTCCCCGTTCACGCGGTATCTTATAATACCCTGTACTGTCTCTGTTCAGCGGATTCTAGATCCGGTTTCGCACAAACGGTGATTCGCTCGTTTCGATAGAACCGCAAGCTCATGCCCAGGTTCCTAGTAAAAGAAATGGAGTCGCTCTACATCGAGGAACAAAAGTCGTCTATCAACCTGTTGATGGCTAATTTAGAGTCATTGCCAGTATCGAAAGGTTCGACAGACAGCAAATACGGACTGCAGAAGCTGAAGCGCAGCAACCACCGGCGCGAGCGCTCCCGCTGCCGCGGTCAGGGTTCTCTCGCTAAGTTGGAGAGCGACTCCGCTGATTCGGAACAGCAGCTAACGAAAATGGACGTGGGCCTCACCTTCCAACTGGCGGTGGTGGTCGTCGAGGTCAGGGGCTTGAAGAGCTTGCCACCGAACAAGATCGTCTACTGCACGATGGAGGTCGACGGGTGTAAGAAGCTGCAGACCGACCACGCAGAGGCGTCGAAACCTACGTGAGTATGCGCGACCATCCGCCTGCTCGAACGAACTGACGAGGCCCACGCTCCGCTCTTCTTCTTTTCTTTCGCCCTCTCGCCCTCTTCTCTTTTTCACGTTCTGTTCGCCCGGTGTTCGGTTCGATCTGCGACCTCGCACAGGTGGGAGACGCTGGCCGAATTCACCACCATGCAACCACTGCCGGTGGTCAAGATCCGATTCTACACGGAGAGCTCGGCGATTCTCTCGCTGGAGGATAAAGAGCTAGGCAAGGTGCATCTGCATCCCACTCCGACCTCTTCCAGACACCCGGAATGGTACCGAATGACCGTGACCAAAAACTGGCCCGATCAGGATCTACGGATCAAGGTCGGTTGCCGTATGGACAAACCGTTCAATCTGAAGCACTGCGGCTATCTCTACGCAATGGGGAAATCCGTGTGGAAGAAATGGAAGAAGCGGTATCACGTATTGGTACAAGTTTCTCAGTACACGTTTGCGATGTGCTCGTACAAGGAGAAACGTAGCGAGCCCTCGGAGATGATTCAGATCGACGGGTACACGGTCGACTACATCGAGCCCATCTCCGCCAATCTGATGGTCGGCATGGATCTGGACAGTGGAAAGTATGTACGTGCGGAACGTTTTATCGGCTCCGGTCGCGCGACCACCTCCTACACGTTCGATCGAAACGTTGCCCAGGTTCTTCTTCAACGCTGTCCGCGAAGGGGACAGCATTGTGTTCGCGGCGGACGACGAGAACGAGTGCCAGACTTGGGTGATGGTCATGTATAGAGCGACCGGGCAGTCGCACAAGCCTACACCGCCGGTTTCCGCTGACAAGAATTCGCCCGTCAGCAAGATTCAAGGCGATGCGGATCGCGCCAAGAAGCACGGGATGGAGGATTACATCAGCGCGGACCCTTGCAAGTTCGATCATCATATGCTCTTCAAGTTCTTACAGAACCTGGTCCTCGATTACAGATTGAACGACCCGATCTGCTCCCTGGGTTGGTTCTCGCCCGGTCAACTGTTCCTTCTCGACGAGTACTGCGCCAGGTACTACGCGTTCGCCCGGTTTTAAGGATGTATTGGCTATACAGTCAATCCCAAAAGTTTATGTACCTTAGAAAAACGCATTTCCTATAATTAAAAAGAAATTAGACGTCGGAAGAATAATGCTAATAATAAATAGCTACGTGCTAAAAAGTATAGAAGGAAATATCCAATTAAGTATTGACGCTGACGAAAAATTTTTTTTTTAAAAAATGCGTTTCTAAAGTGCATAAACTTTTAGGATTGACTGTATAGCTAATACATCCTTAATCGCGAGTCACGTAAGAATCACACGCGTATTGTTTTTCGGTCGACGAATTTTACTTGTTTATAGATACGGGGTGCGAGGATGCTTTCGACATTTGTGCTACTTGAACGACCTCCTCGACAGAATCGATCGAGGATTCATGATCGATCCGACTTTGATACACTTTAGTTTCGCGTTCTGCGCCACTCACGTGTACGGTAGTACCGTACGGACGGACAGGGTTGGTTCCATCACTCACGAGGAGAAAGAGAAGTTTCAGGATATCAAAGAGAGACTGAGGCACATCCTCGAGGAGCAAATTACGAATTTCAGGTAGTTCTTATCTATTGTAAATCCATAGAAAATCGTTCGTCGATAACGAACGGTGGTTCTCGATTCGTAGGTACAGTTTTCCATTCGGTCGGCCGGAAGGCGCGTTGAAAGCTACCCTGTCGCTCTTGGAACGGGTAATGATGAAGGACGGCGTGACCCCGGTACCTCAGGAGGAAGTGAAAGAGTTGATCAAAAGTTGTTTGGAGAAGGCAGCCTACGTTAATTACACGAAACTCTCCGCGGAGGCGAAGATCGAGGACGATTTCAACGGGGAGGTTTGCGTCCCGCCTAGCAAGAAGCTCGAGGATCTGATACATCTTTCGGAAATGTGCGTCGACTTGCTTCAACAAAACGGGGAGCACTATTCGAAGGTATTAGTTGGGTTTCTACAACTGAGTGTCTTCTTTTTCTCTAAATTGTAACTACGTTCGCGCGTTCCTCCTCCGCATGAGCACGGGTAAGTGTTTTCCCCCGACGACGTTATCCTCTACGTTTCTCCTTCTGTGTCTACCCCCGATTTATATGCACGTACTATGTACGCGTGTGACGTCCAATGTTTTCACGATCCTCTCCTACTACACTGTACCGCAGGCGTTCGCCTGGTTCAGCGACCTCATGGTGGAGCACGCGGAGATCTTCTGGTCTCTCTTCGCCGTCGACATGGACAAAGTCCTTGCTGAACAGCCGCCAGACACCTGGGACAGCTTCCCGCTCTTTAAGATTATGAACGATTATCTCAGGGATGACGGTACGGTACCGATCATATTTCACGATTCTCTACGCTAGGATCCCTTGACGACGTAAACGGTTCTCTTTCTCGTAGACAACTTGAAGAACGGAAGGTTCCATCAGCATCTTCGGGACACCTTCTCTCCCATGGTGGTGCGATACGTGGACCTGATGGAGACTTCGATCGGGCAATCGATCACTAAGGGATTCGAGAAGGAGCGCTGGGAGATAAAGGGAAACGGCTGTGCCACGTCCGGTGAACTGTTTTGGAAGCTGGACGCTCTGCAGTCGTTCATCCGGGACTTGCATTGGCCGGATCAGGACTTTCGACAGCACTTGGAGCAGAGGTTGACGTTGATGGCATGTGACATGATCGATACTTGCATCCAACGAACGGACTCGGCGTTCCAAACGTGGCTGAAGAAGGGGGTGACGTTCAATCCCACGGATTACATCATACCGTCGGAGATGTGCGTAATGGTGAACGTCATTCTAGACGCTAAGAATCAGAGCTTTAAACTCTGCACCATCGACGACGTCGACGTGGTGAGTCTCGTTTACGACGTTCTTCGATTCATCGTACGATCCGATGGTAACACATCTGTGTGTATTTTCAGCATCAATATCACTCGAAAATCGACGACCTGATCGAGAGAACGTCCGTCTCCATGACTCAAGGAATGATCAAGAAGTTGATCACCGTCTTGGAAGCGATCCTGTCCAAGTTGTCTCGTTACGACGAGGGATTCATTGCTTCGATCCTTACGTTCACGGTAATCGAAGTAGTTCCCAATCGTTGAGAGTCTCGCCTAGCGACACGTGATACTAATAAAATCGATCAAATTTTGTTCAGAAGGTATCGGGAAACGGGAAGGAAATGGGTCAAGCCTACGTCAGTTTCACGAGGAACTGCATGGATCAGATCCGTGGGAAAGTGATGGACGAACTGTGGATCTTAACGTTCTTCGAGGTAAACTTTTTGAAACTGTTCGTTGGAACTATCGTCGATCGTATATTGTTCTCTTGCTCTCAGCAATGGTACACGGAGCAGATCAAAGTACTGTGCACGTGGCTGTCGGAGAGGCTCGATCACAATCTCCATCTGTATCAATGTACCTGTTTGGCCCACATCGTGAAGAAAATTTACTCGGACTTCGAGCTGCAGGGAGTCATAGACGAGAAACTGAACTCGACGACATATCAGACTATATTTAAGAGGATGCAAACGGAAGAAGCGACTTGTGCCTTAACGAGCATGCAAAACGAAGAGTGAGTATCGATCGGACGATCGTCCATGAGCGTCTATTCGAACAAATCGAGTAATGATCATCGTTTGATTTATACAGGGGTTTCTCCGAAAATGGCAACGACGATGAGGTAGAAAGGCCAAAAGCGAAGGCAACGGTCGTTGAAACTGTCAACAACGAAGACGCGAATCTCATCAGCAACGTTACATCGAACGTTGTTGAAAAAGTTGGAAGCATGTTTGGCGGTTTCTCTACAAAGTTTGGTGGGCCCAGCTGGTTCTAATGACTCTTCCTTATTATTTCACTTTGATCCCGTATTTTTTTCTCCCTACCTCCTTTTATCATTCTTTATTTGATTAGCTATTTATTTGTACTTCGTCGTCGTCGTCGTCGTCGTCATCGTCGTCGTCGTCGTCGTCGTCCTCATCGTCGTCATCGTCATCGTTCGTACGGTACAGTCGAGTATCTTTATATTACCGTTGTCCCTCATACCTTTTGATCAACGATGAGATTGATCTTGCGTTTGCACACGGAACGAGATGGTCCATCGTACGCTTTAGAGATTTTCCTTACAATTAGGATTCTTCGAGGAAGAATCGTTGTTCGATCGAGAATGACAAATAAGCCTTATCTTTTCCGTTTCGAGACTCGATTACGTTCGGCCGTTCGTCTGTGAAGCCATCACGCGTTTACGTATCCTCGTTTCCGAGTAACGATCTCAACGAATAACTATGCATATCGTAAGAGCTACACGCTACGCTGCTACACCTACGTAACCGACTACATATAATACACTCGTACACCATACATCTTTCTATTTTCGTCCTATTCTTTCTTTCGCACATCAGTTCTTTTACTGTTCTATTTATTTCTATACCAAACGAAAAAAAAAGAACCGCTTCGCGCTTTGAAAGAAACCAATATGTACAACCATGTCTCGACCAATTAATATTCCCGTCAATCGTTTTGATGATTTCAAATCATCGTTAACGTTGCATCGACCGTCGAATCGTTTGAACTTCTTGTCTACCTCAATGTATCCGCTGAATAGCGAACGATCTCACATTTGCGGAGAATGTCAGCCTACCTATTATCTAACTGTTTACGCCTCGAATCTTCGAACGAACGGTCAACGAGCGAATTGAAACGAAATTGCCAAAAGCAGTCGACAGATATTCCCTCGGTATCTTCCGATCGACACGTTTCGGGATGAGAATGTCTAGACGGATGCGACACGCTGCATTCGATAAATGTTACTCGGCAGCCCTTTGTTTGTACATACTTTAGCGGAAAAAAGAAAAAATAACAAAAAAAAAAACGAAATGGGAAAAAGAGAATTTTTATATCGTGTAAATTAGCGCGCATCGCTTGAAATGCGTTCGACCGTATGAATAGTCAGAAACTCTATCGTTCGATTCGACTCGACTGTAAAGAATTTCTTAGATCGTTTTCTCGGCAGAATATTTCCTTATATATATGCGTACGCGTCAGACGATCGATCAGACGTCGACAGTTTGAAAAGAAAGGAACTCGCGGAAACTAAGTACGTCTTGTTGTTTCGTATCAAAGATGCCTCTCGTACTTTCGGTACATACAAAATGTACATAGTACTCGGACTTATACGGGTACCGGTGCGACTGGATAGAATTACATGTATGTGATTTGCATATAGCACGTTATAACACGTATATTCTATGTACTTACGCATGTAGTTCGGGACCGATCCGAGATCGGAGGGGAGGATCGAGCCGGGATCGAAGGACGAGAAGGTACGAGGAGCACGAGACGCGGTTGGGAAGCGTTTAATCGAGGCCTTTGACAAATACAAATTAACTTTATGATTTAGTCGAGAAACAACGGGTTACTTTAGAATACGGGAACTCGCGTTCGAAACGAGACGGGACATTTTTCCAAAGTAATACGCTACTGTGTAATCTGTTGGAGAACAAACGTACAACCGAGAGTAGTTGACGTTGTCGAAGCTAAAGAAAAACGTTAAAAAAATCGTTGTAGAGCGTACTTACAGCCGATGCTAACGGTACTACAGTTGTGATGATTATCATCATTCTTACTATTGACAATTCTCCTATACTCTACGACTCTAATTAGACTTATTAGAGAGCGATCAAGGGAGGGTCTCACTCTCTCTCTCTCTTTTGCTCTGACGATAGTAATCTTGCACCAGGTCGCTCGACTACTCTACGATCTCTTTGTTCATCCTCGTACTATTTCTTTCTCTTCTCTCTATCTCTATCTCTCTAGTTTCTGTTTACCTCCCATAGCCACGCACGCGGCGTATTCGCATACGCACACGACTACATATATTTAGTACATATAGTTGAAAAGAAACACAGGCGCGCGTACGCAACGTGTCGATACAGAAACAGAAGATAGTCCCATGAATAAGTTGGGGCCTCGTTTTCGTTACTTACTTTCAAGCTCGTTTTACCTATCATTCGACATTGAGATCTTGCGTTAACTTTAGTTGAGAAGACTATAACGAAAAAAAAAAAACGAAGGCAGAGAGTCTTTTACTGTGCTAGCTAGTGACTTTAAATCGATTAAACTTCTATGCAATTGTTGTTCTCTCGTTAATAAAATGTCCGACAAGGATGAATACCTCACGGTGCAGAAAACGTATACCCGACACTTTAATTTCCTTCCGAGGATATCGATGCACGTATAACGACTACGTCTCATTCGCATTAATACGTTCCCCCATTCATTTGTACGTTCATTTAATTACGCGTCTACTACGCGCATTATCAGAGTGTATAATTTACTTTCTACTTTCTACCATCCCACCATCTCTTTTACCCGTTTTATTGGCGGTTTGTACGCGGTTTGTACGCGGTTTGTACATACATACATAGATACATACATACGAAATCGGGATTCGACGAATCATGACGCGCAACAAGTGTTGAGAACAATCTCGTACGCATTTTCTATAAAACCGAAATCTTCACGCACGCACGCAGAACACGCATTTTCACATAGCATTGTCATTGTATCATGAGCAAATACTTTTTTGTAAATAAACAATATACTGATGTTGGTATTTTGTCTCATTCGTCCGAAGGACTCGAATTCTAACTCTGTACCAGATATATCTGGATCTTCGAGTCAGAGTTCATCGACAATAAATGCAACGTGCGACTCACCGAAACTTTGCCGGCTAGCGGAGGCCCAGATCGTCGCGGAACTTCTTTTACTTTCGCGGCGAATTCTGCTCCTCCGTGAGATGACATCCGTTCATCAAAAGTGTCACGAACTTCTCTCATTCTCGCGATCCGCGATAGTACTTTTACGAAAAGCCGTCTCGGCTTTCTTCTTTCCATTTCTACCGATACCGTCTGCAAGCGATACTTATCGATGCGATCGATAGAAGTCATAGGTAAGTTCGATTCCTATTGTATAATTTAAACTGGGGAAAAGAATGACGCGGTAAATTAGCTATTATAAAATCACACGACGAACATCGTTACGTACTAAAGGATAGAAGAATCAAATGTTATGGTCGTCGTTAATATTCAAAAGTTAAAAGAAATAAATCTCGTCGCCGGAATTGTTTAGATCATGAAACTCTTCCGACTAACTATATAGAAACTATATGTATACGTATAGACGTAACTGAAAAGAGTAGCGCCTGTCATGCATCTAATTGAATTTCTTTTAATTAAATACATTACAGATGCCCTTCTCATGCGTAAAACGAGTAAAGTACTCGCATAGCGACGCGTTCGTTCATCGATAATTTGTATTAGATAAATGCCTAATTCTCTAGATAACTAGTAACCTTGAGGACTCCGTCCTATAACTTATAACGTCAACTGGTTATAACATCTTGCTTTTCAATCTGTGTCTAGTATAGCATAAGTATATGTAATCACGGTTACGAAAACTAAAACCGCAGAGACTGTGCTAGCTAGCGACGGCCGACGGTGACACGCGTGGCAAAAACTAACGGCAATAGAAATTAGGATTAGACACCGAGCTGCAAAGTAGCCGAAAATACGAGCATTATCAAACAAATTGACGATCTACGATGTTCTCGGTAAATATACGTTCGAGGAGGGAGGGCAGGATTTCAATTTTAATGAACATATGACGATCGCATGGTTCGGGAGGAGAGCAAAGGGGAAAGCGCGAGTTTGATTTTTCATTATTTTTAGTCGGTGGCAAAGAGGATCGTGCAGCGATCGTTTTCGACATCCAAATGGAGTGCCGCACAGCAGGTAAAAATCATTGTTCATATAGATTATCGTATTCTTCTTTTTTTGTTCGTACCTAACCTCTTCATTTTGACAAGATTATGCTCGATGCTATTCCTCTCCTCATATAATAAAAGCAAGACTTGTACAAAACCATCGTTTCTTTTTATTTTCCCTTCGTACAATCCATCTTGTTCCCTCGATTCCATTCGTCCATTATATTATTTAAACGAACGCGAATATGCTGAAGGACGACAAAGGTCATTCACTTGAAACGCTAGTTTCTCGATGATGATCGTTCGATCTTCGTTTGTTTGATCGAGGAAAAAGGCGATGACAATGGGTTTCTTCAATTTTTAGATGACCGTGCGAGACGCTCTAAATTCGGCGCTGGACGAGGAAATGGAAAGAGACGAGAAGGTATTCTTGCTCGGTGAAGAAGTCGCGTTGTATGATGGAGCGTACAAAGTCTCCAGGGGCCTTTGGAAGAAGTACGGAGACAAACGCGTGATCGACACTCCGATTACAGAGGCCGGATTCGCTGGTATAGCCGTCGGCGCAGCTATGGTATGATACAATGCTGTTACTTCGCTTCCAAGTTTTCGCTCGTCCTCGACTTTCTTATTATTTGGTCCAGGCTGGTTTACGCCCCGTGTGCGAATTCATGACGTTCAATTTCTCGATGCAAGCCATCGACCACATCATCAACTCCGCCGCCAAGACGTTTTACATGTCCGCCGGAAGGGTAAACGTACCGATCGTTTTCCGTGGACCAAACGGAGCAGCGGCGGGTGTTGGGGCACAGCACTCGCAGTGCTTCGGTGCTTGGTTCAGTCACTGCCCTGGCTTGAAAGTGGTCTCACCCTATAACAGCGAGGACGCAAAGGGACTGCTGAAAGCTGCTATTCGGGATCCCGATCCGGTCGTCATGTTGGAGAACGAGATATTGTACGGTGTTCAATATCCGATGTCGGACGAAGCTCTATCGAAGGAGTTCGTTTTACCGATCGGCAAAGCGAAGATCGAACGTGTAGGGAAACACGTTACGCTGGTAGCACATTCCAAAGCGGTCGAACAAGCTCTCGAGGCGGCGAACGAACTCGCGGGTAAGGGAATCGAAGCAGAAGTGATAAACCTCAGATCCCTGAGACCGTTGGACATAGACACGATTGTACAGTCGATAGTGAAGACAAATCATTGTTTGACCGTGGAGCAAGGCTGGCCGCATTGTGGCATCGGAGCGGAGATCAGCGCGAAGATCTCGGAAAGTAAGTCTCGAAATGTACGAACAAACTACGAACTATTTTGATTCGCGTCCGTCATTTATCTTTTCAGGCGAAGCATTCTATCATCTGGACGCGCCGGTGATTCGCGTCACGGGCGTCGATACGCCGATGCCCTATACCAAATCACTGGAGATCGCGGCTTTACCGCAAATGCAGGACATAGTGCTCGCGGTGAACAAAGTACTAGGATTACAGTAATTATTTGTATAGATCTTTAGGAAACCAATTAAAATCTGCCCCGTTCTATGCTTCTCTCCGGGGGAGGTTTCATAGAAATTTCTTTAAATTAAATTAGAAATGCTCACCTCGACGTTCGACTATCACGAATTACTACTGCCATTTGTTATAAATACAGTACAATGTACATACAACTGAGAGTCGGTCTGATACGGATCGACTTGCTCCGAATTAAAGGGTCCCAAAAATCATTCTATCGTAACTACATGCCCGTGGTAGCTAGGTGAAATTGTAAATTATTAGAAGCGCGTAGGACACGAGTAATACGCGCTGCATTTGTTTATTAATTATTTATTATAACGGTAACTAAATAAACTATAGCGTACACGTACGATTATCCCCCGAAATCGACCAAGTTTGGTTCATTCAATTGTCATCGTTCCCATCTTCCTCTTCTCCCGCTATTAGTCATGTATGATACATACGCAAAAGGCAACACGTGACGACGGTCATGTAACGCTCGAAAGCGTCCCTTACTTCGTTGTCCCTGAAATAGATAGGACCGGGTCGGTGCTGCGTATTTTTCGAAAGAATCATTGTTCTGTACCTGAGTACGTCCATGTCTAGCGCGCATTGCGTGTAGATCGAGAGGAAGTTTCTCAGGTCGGAGTGCGTCCAATTTACTTGGCGCCACGGTTCTATGCACCTCTCGACTAGTTCCAAGAAAAAGAATCTTAAATCTCTCGAACGATGGAGGTTGCATCCTATGCCTAAGATCGCTCTCGTGTACGAACGGAAGTTCGTGTCTATCTCCTGATACGAACGTTCTAACAGCAATGGCTTCAGTTTGATGCAAACCAAACTGTAATAGAATCAGCATTGGCATTCGTTTCTTGCGACTCGGTGAATGGAGATAGCTTACTGCTTGTGATGTTTGTCATTGTCGAGGAGAACTCTGCACTCTGCGAGTTCCAATAAAAATTCTCTGTCTAAATCAGTATCGAAATACTCCGAGCCGACGCAACGATACGTCCACGAAGTCATCATACTGTTGGCGCAGTGATACAGATCCGGGAACGTTAGAAATTGTAGCTTTCGTTTGTTCATCTCGAATCGGAGGCACGCTATGAACACCACGGCAGCATATCGCCTGGGCATCGTACAAGTTAGAGAACTTACGTTTAACGAAAGGCCCAATAATTCATTTTCTGATTTACTTCGCGAGGTCCTCGGAAAGTAAAAAGTGCTGCTCGATATTGGTGACCAAAGAACCAGGCAGATCTTCAACGACTTTGAACACTCTCTTCACGTTGTCGTATTGACGCCGACAGCTCTTCAAGGTGATGCCCGTTTTCTCTGCCACTTCGTCCATGTCTTTTCTACTCTTCGACGTTAACTTCTTACCCAACAATTCTCTGACAACGACGTCGTTGAACTCGTAGTACCTACATACGTTTGGGATGAGACAAGAACAGACGGCTCTTAACGAGAGTCGCTGGCTCTTACATTTCGATAAGCATCTGACTGGTCTGCGGTTCTATCTGAAACGCGAGCTGCTCGCTGGCCAATTTAGTAGGTGTGTGAAGTAGTTTTTCGAGGAGCGCATAGGTACGATAATGGTCGAGAATATCAGAGGCCACCAGCTCAATCGGGGCATTCGCTAGTTGGCATATTCCACGTTGATGCAGGATGTTCACTGCCTCGCTTGCTGGTAAGCGAGCAACAGAAGTTTTATTTCAGGAACGATTCTACGATCTCTAACGTAAACTTACACGAATGTCCGTCGACCCAAAGCTGATACACCTCGGGATCGACGAGAGTGTAATTACTGATGAATACGTCCACTTCCGACAACATATTTACGACCACGTCGGCGGTTCTTCGCTTACAAGTGTTCGGAAATCGTCAGCACCGAGTTCGAACAAGTGAATTCGAACGAGATTCAAAGTTTGGCGAGCATTCTCGACTCGACGTTGTCGTAAATCGTAAACAGTCGTGTATATTCTTGGCATCTATGTACGTGGTAGCACGGACTGTGCAGTGTTCATTGATTTACATATATTATACATATGTACAGTACTTTGATTGGATACAGTACATACGTACTTGTAGACATAGGAATTTTATCGTCTCCCTGTTGGTACGTTCTGATCAGTGGGGGTGGGGAGTCATTTCTTATTTAATAAAGAAAGTGAAATGATTTTTCAGAACGCACTCGGCAGATTTCTTTTTTATAATCATTCTTCTGTATAACAAAGCAATGATTCCTTAATTAGATCTGAGTCACTCTTTTATTCGAGTACGGGGGGTAACGCACTGATTTGCTTTTAGTACGTAATAAATTAGTAGATTCCATTATACAATTTCGTTCGATTAAATATGAAGCAATTAATTTAAACGGATAAATCCGATGTTAGTAGCGAACGTAACTAGAGAATGAATACTGTTTCGATCATTTTTACACGCGAAAATGAAACTCGCACACGTACTCGCGTGTGCATCTCGTCCACGCGTCCTCAGTCAAATAATCTGTACACATCCCGATCGTGGGACAGATCGAACGATTCACGCACAATCTGTTTTCATTTCGATCGTTCAGAGATTCAGGGAATCACATGCAGCCGCACGCTTCCACTACCATATTCGGCAACGTCTTTTGCGTAATCGTATTGTTCGAATCGACGTAGAGCAATTGAATAGCCGACAACTGGGTGGGTGAACAGCAGGGGATGATATCGCTTCGTCGGTGAACAGTGGTCCCGCCTTTGGCCAACAACCTCTGAAAAGGAAAGCGAAATCTCTCTGTCAATTAATCGATTCATGGAACGAATCTCTGTTTCAAAAGCGATTCCGAGTGCTCTTTCGTACGAATCACGTATGTACGAATAACAGCCGACGATCGGAAGACGAAAGAAGATGCGTACTCTGATCACGTTAGTATAAGCAGACCCACTGATGGTCAACGAAGCTGCGGAGGTACAAGAACCGCGACAGAAATACGCATGATACCCGCTCGGATGGAGAATCCAGTCGCTCCAACCGATATCGGCGAAATTAATGTAGAGCTCGTCCCTGCAGCAGTCCTTCATCTCCGGCAGACAATTTGAATTCCTCTTTGGCCTGTTGTTCTGCGCGAGCGGCGACGTGTGTATCACGAGGAAGGGCTTCAAAGTCTGCTCGATGGACACGGGCGCGGTGTCCCGGTCGATCGAACAGGTGCTACAAGCTATTTGAATCGCGTGATTCAAACGGAGTTCCTCCATCCACTTTCTTAGCGTGAAAGTCACATCGGTCTTCACCCAGCCCTCTGAAACCATGACCAACGATTCGATTTTAATGCGACGCGACGCGAATCATAGGCAGTTCATATCGCTGCGTTTTTTTGCTGACCGTATCCTCTCTCACGGTCTAAAGTCCTTAGACGGACACATGCATAGAAACAGTTTTATCTCTCTGTACCGTCGCGTTCCCGTCCGAAGGCACATACACATCACGCGGATTCCGAGTATCGAACGAATTTCGCGGGGAAGGGAATTCGTCCGAGTATGTTTCTAACGAATACCTCCGATATCGGTCTCGAAGATGGCCATGATCATGTTCTTCTCAAAGTTCCCGTCCAGGTCCCAGTGATCCAGCTCGGACAGGACGAACGTCTGTGTCAGATCGTCGTTCTCGTCGCTCTCTTTGTAAAACCAGAGCTGCGCCGACGTCACGTCGACGAATTGCATTTCGTTCGGCAGGTAGAACGTGAAACAGGCAGCAGGGTTGAACCCCGTCAAATGGTTCGATTTCTGCCGACACTTCTTCGAATCGGCGATACCTGAGAAACGCGATTTCCTCAATTCCCAGACGCGTGAAACGCGCGAAGCAGCTTATCGTGGTTTTCATTCGATTCGAGCACGATTGCGAAAGAATAAACGGAAGTGAGAATTGCATCATGATTTCTTTTTACGAGTTTGTTTCTATAAAGGGAAAGGAATTTTATGAGGAAAATCTTGATAAATTTGCGTGCCGTCTTGACCTTTTACTACGAGAATTTACCACAAATAGAAAAACGTATTACGTAAGTATTTTCTGTACGTCAATAAAGTACAGCGATTTGGAACGTCGACGGGGAAGAAGGAACAGGTCTGTCTAAAATATTATCACAGGTCTCTCTAAAATATAGCAGATTCGGTACGTGGCCAAGGTGAAGAAGTGAGAAAAAAATAAATGAAACTGTCTTAACCTTCGTTTGGAAAAACGACGATCTGATTGGTTTTTCCATAGAAACTGTCCGATTTTTCCGGTTCGAGAGGCGCCCCGGGTCGAAGTTCGAGCACATGACCGTTTATCAGAGGCTTCGGCAAGGTCGAGAGCGGCATAGATATCTCGGGCGGCTTCGACAGCCGCAGCTTCTTCAGAATCTGTTGCTTGACGTATTCGACCCTCAGCTCCGTCAGGACGGGATCGGTAGTGATCAAGCCGATTTTCTCCCGTTTGCAGCCGACGCAATTCTCTTCATCGAAGGATGTCGCGGAAGTGGAGGAACTGACCGAGTGCGAGAAACTCCACCAAGAGGACGACAGAGGATTCGCGATTTGTGGCCAAATCGTCTCGACCGGACTGCCCGACGGGAGGAAAGACAATAGCAGCAGTTGCCAAATGAAACGCATCGTTCTTCCGATATTTGATTATCCTAATGGTACTCGGGCTTCGACATTCCTCTGAACAGGAAGCTGTACGACACCCACTCTGTTTCCATCGAGCTGTCTCGTTCCACTAACTCGTCTCGGTACCCGTTTCGAATACCTTCGCGTACGCCCTCATCTCGCGCCTCCTTACCCTCGGTTTCCCTCGATAAGAATCGGCGTGTCCGCGTATTTCCAACGAGCAATGTCTCGGCGAGTTCGATCTTTTTCACCGATTCGGCCGCTCGAGCAACTCATTCGCGAAGACTGAGGATACAGAAGTCGGGATGGTTCCGTTTGGTCACGCATCGGTTCTCGACACAGCCTGAACTTTGCTCCGTGGTCGGGGGATACAGCGGATTGGACGGAGACGAATCGAGCTGATATCAACTGGAAACACGCGGTACAAACATGTTTCGATGCTGTCCCCTTTCTCGTCCCTTTTACCTACTTTCCGCAAGATTTCACACCCACCCGAAGGGCTATCCGCCACGCATATTCGTCTTACGTACCGATGACCATGTACCCAAGCGTTAACGGGCCAGATACGATTCAGCAGTTTCTTTTAAATTGAACTCGGTCAATGATCGATAAACGTTAAAAACTTTATTTCGAGCGGCGTTATCTTACAAACAAATTAATACTATCGTAGCATTCGAGAACGGACTCCGTTCGACGCATACACGGATCGGTGGTGTTCCACAATGATCGTTCTGTCATCGTAGCGCAGGGAATAATCGATGGAACATGGATTCGTCGTGATTGTTACGATCGAACAAACCCGTTCGTCGTCAGAAAGGTGCCGACTCAAATCGAGTCTGTTCAAACTTTGGCATAGGCGGCGTAATTAGCTATGCCGCATCGGTTTTTGTTTTTGGCCAGACGCATGTACCCCTGTTCACCCCATTCGTCGCCCCACCAATTCTTCAAGATCCACTCAGTCGGCGTGTACCCAACGATCAGCATCGCGTGATTGACCATATCCGAGCTGCATAGCTCGTCGTCGTAGACTCCTCGGCTGCGGACCAAATAACTTTAAACGACGGGACAATCAAGAGACAAAGAGGAGATCAAAGCTCGCTCGCAATCAGTCGCGTTTTAAGATGAGGACAAGCCTCGCGATCCCTTTCAGTTCCGAAACGCAAGTTCACTGACTCGCGTTCGTTGCCTTTCAGGGTCATCGCGCCAATGATGCATCGCGAGGTTATCGACCAACTGGACCAATTTCTTCTCCGGTGGTATCTGCCGTACGGGGAGAGCGGGAGGTGGGCGGTTAATGATACGCGCAATTTCGAATAAACATTCGCTAAACACGAGTCCATCGCGTGTCGAAAAATGCTTTGTTCTCTACAGGAATCCTTTGAAGACGGTGATATCACGGGTACGTATACTCACTGGTAAAGTTGGAACGTTTTCGGGCTGGCGTTTATGGAAGCCGCTATCGGGCCTATAGTAGCCACCGCTGCTTCCAAAGCTCGTTCATCCCGAGCAGGCAATACCGCCCACGAGGTGATGTTCACCACGCTCAACCGTGGCTTGAACCGACACGCGCCTTGCTAGTTTTTTAACGAAGAAACTTCATTTTAATTTGTGTAGCAATAAAAGTTATGCAAGATAAGCAATCGAATTAGCTCGTTAATTTCTTTGCGTAAGTTCGTCCGTATCTACCGTAAGGAGCCATACATTTTGCGTTACATCAGCCAAACAGGCGCGGCAGCGTTTAAGATAAGAGCTCAGATAACGAGTGAAGGAATTTCAAATAAAAGACGACATCCTAAATAAACACTTATCGAGAATCCACACTTAAAATTGAGCGAAACGGAGCAGAACGGAACGGAACGATCGGAGACGTATCACTCACTTACTTTTCCCCTGTACGAGTAGTGAGTCTCGTCCATGAGACCTTTGGCTCTCTGGAGGTACCTTAACGTGTTCCTCAGAGATCCACCGGAGCAGCCCATGTTTCCAGTGGACGTGCTGCAATCGACTAATTGTTGCACGCTCAACGGGACCAGCATGCCCGTCTCTTTGAATATCTGTCCCTGAATGCTGCCGGCTATCGAGTACGCGTAACAACTACCGCAATCTCTTTGGTTCTTCGGTTCGGTTTCGAAGCCAGCCTCGCGCCAGTCGAGCTGCGATGGGATTTTTCGAGGGTCGTGCAACACTGCACCGACCATCGTATCCGACACCCGTCGCTTCCGACTGGGAATCAATTTCACCTATAACGATTCGCATTTACGATTTGTTTCTATCGCACGAGAACGAGGACGAACCATCTCACGAATGTATTGCCTGGTCCCAAGATCGGCGATGTGATTGTCTTTTAACGTGAACGTGTGATGACCGGCAGCTGCCATCATGTTGTGCTTGTAAATCGCTACTAGATTCTGCTCCCAAGTGATCCTTCGACTGGTCTCGAGATTCCCGGAGTAACTTTTGTTATATCGTTCCTGCGATCGAGGATAGTTTCAACAACTCTGTCGTTCTGTTGGACTTGAATCAAATGGTACCTTGTACGTGTTCCAATACTCGTCCAATTTCTCGGATACCTCCGGAGGGAGGTGATCGCGTTCGCCGAACACTTGGATACCGTCGACGCGCCACGCAGCCAACAGGAGAAACGCGAGTATAGAGGATCGAAGAGGCATGATGAACGCGACAACAATTTCTGGTACGTTCAACGAGTCGACTGTCTTTCAATTTCATATTGTTTCGATTCAGGAAATCCACCTCTACGGCTCTTGTTTCAAATTCGAACTACGAGTGTCAGCGGATTCGTGAGAATTTCGTAAGTATTGCACATGACGAAGAGAGAAGACCAACGAACTTGCGTCATCGTCAATTGTGCCTGGCATGCTCGCGAAATTATAAGCGATACACGCTCTTCTACGGCGCTGCAAATTGGATCGTCGTTTAGGAAAAATTAGCGAGTCAGAGGAGAGTGATCGAATTCGAATGAGAGATCTGCGATTGAATTTACCGTAAGATGTTCGTACTCGCAATGAAACGATCGTTTAAAAACGATTGGAAGAGAAATGATAAAAGATCGATCTCATACAATTTATATTAGATTCCCTGATTCGCGTGTGTTCGTATCTTCCGAGCAAAGTGCTTTCGATTCCCAGTGGTTGAGTATTTTGAATCGACGCGCGATGCGGCAGTCGGAGCGCGTTTAAACGATCGGTCATCAGCCGTTTCTCGTTTGTTCGCTTTCTCTCGCGATATACATATAAGTAACGACTACGCACGTATACGTGGAATGTAGGCTGTAGACGTAGTTGTACTTTATACGTATACAGGGTGAGACGATGAGAACTGGCGGGAACGATCGAGCGCGTTAACGCTCAAGGAAGTCGTTGAAAGTCATGCAAGCAACTTGAACGCTCGTTGCGAGGTCCGCGGATTAACTTTGGATCCTTATCGGCTTATGTTAAGAGCGTACGTTACGGTGATCGTCGAAAGTTTGCTCGTCAAAACTTTCCTACGAAACGCATCGCTTTAATCGACCGATATAACGTGCGGTCCGTTCGTTAAAGGAATTTCGTTCGGTCCACCCTGTACGTGGGAGGCTGATAGTGGTCGTGGGGGGTTGGTGAGCGGAAGATCGCGGATGCTCGTTCGAGACTCGTGATCCGCGACTCGTCCCTCGTCCCACGCGTCTCGGAATCCGAGCACGGAGAGCATCGGGCATCGAAAATCGGATGGCAGTGCCAGACCGAGCAGACGATCGAGAGTAACGAACGCTGGTACCGCGTGCAGCAGCAGGCGGCGAGTAGAGAACAAGCTGGTTCGTCGACGAGCCAACGAAGTCCGGTCCCCGTCTCCTCTCGTCGCTCCCGTCTCCGGATTCCGATTATCGCTCGACACGCGCGTCGTCGACGTCTCGTCTTCTGCCAGTGGGGAGGCGCCACGCTAGAAAGCAAAACTCGGTACCGTCACCGCCGCGATCGGGCAAAATTAAGTACATAATCATCATACTACGAGCGAGCCTCGATCGTCGTTAGTAGCGTCGCGACGCTACGCGCCGCGCTCGCACCGCCTTTCTCTTTCGAGCCAGTGAGATTCGTGATATCCAGAAGAAGGATGGACGAGTCCGGGATCGACATGGGCTTCGATCTAGCGGCTATCACCGCGGATCTGGAGCAACGCGAGGCAAGTTTGCGACGGTGTCAAGAGAAACAACAGAATGGTATCACCGATATCGGCGACTGCGGGGACAAATTGGAAAACAAACACGATGACAACGAGGATTGGGAACAGGCTCTCTCCTTCCTAACGGCGCCGATACAGGACATTATGTACTATGAACTGAAGAGCCGTGCACCGAACATCGACAGGTACGCTTTCACGAAGACGAATTCTTTTCAATAACTATAATTTGCAACCGGGTCGCAGCTTCTTTGATCGCCGAATCGCACACACACACACAGCCACGTACGCGTTGTTTGCTACGCTTCGTCGTGTTAGTGCGCTTTGCGCTGTTCCCTCTACTCGGCTCGAATCGGCGCGATTCGCAAGATGTCGACTTCTCTCGGTTCCCATTCGGCTCCGCTCGCGTCGGATCTATAGATCATTGCCTGCTGCACTTTCGATCTCGATCTCGATTTCGATCTCGAATAATTTGGATGACCGCGCCCACGAGAAAAAATCCTTAGACGTTTGCGATTCAAAATGAGATGTATGCGAAGATCGAAATATTCGCAATTTTGATGAAGGGAACGGTCGCGACGTACGTCGATAGATCTTTGATCGATCGGTACTCGGGAGGATCTCAATTGCTCGTATCGATCGTCAAGTTTGTTTCGGTTTCCTACTCGATGTTTGGACGAGGAATGTTGGCCCGGGCACGCGAATGCGCGCGGGCGTGCGATAAATACGCGCGCGTAGATCCCGATAACGGTGGGAAAGAAGAGAGAGATCCAGGTGTGGATCAGCGATTCTCGCGTCGTCGGTCCTCGTCGTCCTCGCCGACGAAGATGTCCGCACGCGTTTTAGTGGGTTGCTGGTTCCGTGGTTAACGAATCGTCGGATATGCAAGACATATCGGAAACAGTGCGACAAATCGTACAGTTCGAGGACCTCGTCTCGCGGTTGAAACGGATAAACGACGTGGGTCGTTCGTTGAACAACGCCGCGGGTGGCTCGACGAAGCCAGCGACGAAGAAGCTGCCTTGGCCGAGTTCTTTGCTGCGTTCAGCAACGGCGAAACCGGAAACGGTACCGGTATCGGCCTCGGCGCCGTTTCCGGTCGATCGACGGAGATCGGTGGTCCCGCGACGCTACGACGGCGTGTGTCAAAACAGTTTGGTGCCGTGCGCGTGTTCGAACTCCGCTCCGGAACGGAGGCATGAAGAAGAGGAGATCGTGAGACAACGGTGGCAGCGCGAGGAACAGCGGGAGCAACGCGTGCGCGTGCACATCGGGATCGACGAGGATCTGCGCATGATCCTCGAGATGGATCCGTCGATCGTCGACGGGACGTTGTCGCCCGAGAACGATCCTCGGAGCAACGGTCACGTTGCGTTCGCAAGACCGTTAAGAGCCACTCGCCCGCAAGGCTGGTATATACATACGTATTGTCATGGAAAACTGTCCGTGGCGGTCCTCCGTCCTCTCCTGCCCATTGCAGCCGCCGCCACCTCCGCCGCCGCCGCTTCGTTTTTTCTACCGTCGTCGTGCCGTTACCCCGCGATTTCCACCAGCAGACACCGCTCTTCTTCCCTCTTAGCGTATTCCCGACCGTAAACATTGCATCTAAATATAAATGCGACTGTCCTTGGTTCTCGCGCGTAGTTACGTACGTACGTGTTTCGTGAACTTAACTGCGGCGAGGCTCGAAATTGATCGATACACTTTGCATAAAATATATTTCCCAACGAGCAAACGTATCTCTTTTCAATTATCACGTTCCGACTCGATGGACCGTGGTACCGACGAGATGCCAGTACTTTCAATCGTGACTGTACGACCGTGTACGCGATGGACTCGATTCGTGATAATTACCCAAAATGCTACACCCCTCCTACGCCGGAGTCAATGCGACCAGACGCGAAAGATGAAAGAGAAAGAGCTCCGTTCGCTCGCTCATGCTTATGCTCATCGTCGAGCCATTCGTTCGAGTTTTCGTCGAACATGGGGTTACGTAACGCGCGAGAGTTGCGCGATGAACGCACGAAATAGACGAGAGCCACGAAGCGGCACGGAGAATATTTATTAACGGGTTAGGGTTTAGCCTTTCGATATGTCCGGAAGGAAAGATCGAGTCCCGATCCAAATTGCGCAACCGCCTTCTATTTCTGGCACCGTTTTCTTATGGCTATAATTTGGCCGGGTTCCCGACTCGGGAATACCTTCTAGATTCTAGACCCTCTGAACCGTGGACGACTCGCCATCTGCGCGTTCTTCCTGCCCATGCGCTTTGTGCTTTTCATTCAAATCGTTGAAATCCAATAAAGTTCTTTTTTTAACTCACAATTAAAATTATCAGAGCGACACGATGATAATGTTTTGTACCCGGCCATTTGAGGATTATCGACGTACATTAGCACTCAACCAATTATACGTGTTTACGTATACTGTGCAGTTAACGGTTTACTTATTTAGAAAAAAGCCGACGTAAACCGTCGTACGCACAACAGGCAAATGAATAAAGTGTGTCGCGCGTAAAATTGATTTTCAGTCCACCGACGTTTAAGACGGCGACGTCGACTTCGCGTACGCAGTTGAAGCTCCAGCTGATGCGGGAGCAGCTGCAGGAGCAGGAGAGGCGAGAAGCGGAATTTCGACAGAACTTGCAGCAGCAGAGACCAACGGCCGCCCCGCCCAGACCCGTGCCCTCCACGTCCCTCTCTACCATCGGGGTGGACGTGCCACCGCAAGTTCTCCAAGTACGTCTCGTCCCAACGCGTGAACTACATAGCATAAATTGACCTTACGGTCGAACACGTGTAACGAGATAATAGAAAACGTTTTCTCAAGAAAAAAAAAAAAAATGCTTCTTACGTTCGAAACGTCTGCTCGTTACACCGTGACGCGAGATTAATTAACGCTCCACTATTAACATAAGATAATCTTTTTAAGAAGAATGGACGGTAGATAAACGGTAGTCGCGTCTGTTCCAGGTACGAACGCTGTTAGAGAATCCTACGCGATACCACGTGGTTCAGAAGCAGAAGAATCAAGTGCGACAGTATCTGCACGAGTCGTTTCGAGGCAGTGTCGCGGAAAACGAGAGCGTTCTCGATAGAAATTCGGTGGACACGGCGCCAGCACCGATGCTCGTTCACAGTGCACCACCCGGACCGACGGTGCATCACCCGAAACCACAGCATCCACTACTGGCCTCGTATCCGCATGCACCCACGCAGGTTTTATCTCACAGCAATCCGGTAGCTGCTAGCCCGGATCCAACGACCGGTGCCATGTCCCCGGGACTTTCCAGCGTCGCGACCAGCAACTCCGAGGTAATTTATACATACTTATACGATGTTCGTATAACGATCATCGTTTCAATGCCCCATACAATTTTCGTTACGACGCGCAGAAGATTAGTAAATTGTCTATTCCTTCAGTTACTGTTTTTGCTTCGTGTAATTCTATTGCAAACGGATTCGGGTTAACGGAGAAATCAGGGACTGTTACCGCGATTCGATACCTAATTGTGAGGCGAGGACTGTCGTGGCTGCGACACGAGAACGGAATTGTTAATAGAGAACCGGTCGAAAGGAGAAATTTGATTGCCGTCGGAGGAAGTTCAAAATCGTTTCGAGTAAACAGAGTCCAGTACGTACTTGGAATCTGGCTTCGCGTTTCTATTATACTATCCCCGGCTACTCCTATCAGATTCGGAGTCGCACGAGAGAAATGAGAATAGGAGAATCGTTTTACGTATCGGACGTTGGACGCTTTGCCTCGAGGGTAGTAACACCGTGAATTGGAAAAAGGGGAGAAAGAGTAATGAACGCTGTGTGGTAACGCGTGTTACGTCTGCGGACAAGTGGGGACAGGAGTAGCTGATTGCGAGTGGCATGGCGATTTCCTATCCCATCCCATCCCATCCCATCGCATCGCATCGCATCGCATCGCATCGCATCGGGCGTGGGGCGTCCGTGGGGCGGAGGTTGTGGCGCGTGGCGAGCATTCGAGCAGTTGCGAGCGGTACCGAAACGAACCGATCGGTCGAGCTCTTCATGTTTCAAACACGCGCGATATCCCGCCGAAAGTTAACGCGTCGCGACACTTTTTGTATTCCTATTATCGACGTGCTCGACGAGTAATAAAACTGAAGGAGTCTTGGAAGAGTTTAGTAACTGGTGAAAGGAAAGATCGCACTGTACTCGGACACGGAAACTTCCACGAAGTACGCGAGATTCATGGATCGACGTACCGGCACGTACGAATGAAACGATGCGATGCGGTAAAAGCAAGACAAAGAATCTGACTTCTAGTCGGAAGCTTATCGACGGAATTCGAGAGATTGGAGATAACGGATTGTTCGCGTATCTCGATTGATCACTCCAGCTGTGAACGTTTCTCGGCACCAGGTAGAAGAGAGTTACGTCCGTTTCACACCGTTTCGGGTTCGAATGTCCCTCCACGGTTCGCGAGGATCGAGAGATACGTTATTGGGTAACTGCAACCTTGAGGTGCGCTTAATCGTAGTCGTAGGTAGCTGAGCCGCGGAGTGGTGGGTACGGAGAGAAAACGCAAGGTTACAACAGGCGTCGTCGACGCATCGACGAAACATCGGATCTCAAAAATGCACTCGTTCCTCGCTTAGCCTGCAGCTCGTTCCGTTATTGACGTCGGTCTCACGGATATGACAGTTTCGCGACTCACGTTCCTCCAGGCATCGAGCCCAGCTCGTGAACTAGGTTCATGTGCCGTGTTCTCTTCTGGATCTACCGAAAAGTATAGTTGACAAACTGTGAGGACTCGCGAAGAATCGAACCTGTGTACGCATCGACCGAACGTTCGTGAAGGTACGAAAATCGTCAGAATTATTGTTCGCTGGTGTATTCGAATCAACGGCAGAGCTCGCGGGCACAGCCACGTGCGTGCATGCGTACGCGCACGTGTTCAATAATCGCACGGATCGGGTCTTTCCACCATCGGATAACGAAGACATGCCGGTGTTTAATATAATAACTCGGAGATGCAAGGTGAGTTTGATTCAATAACATTTGAAGCATCACTTCCGCTCGCTGATACTCGCCGCAATCCTCGTCCCGGGTACTTCCCCCCAGATTCTCCGGTTAATTGTGTCGCGTTATCGCTTTATCGCGTTATCAGCGCCTACGTTTCACAACGCGATACTTATACGCATTTCAGCAGGAGGAGTCCGAAAATTGATCTTTTTAAAACATGCTTGCACGGAGAGCGAACGTTGATCGGGGAGACGATTCGCGTAATCACGCAACCGCGACGATAACTGCCTATCTGGCTAAAAAACATGGAAATGTTACCGACGATGCCAACCTCGTACGGTATTTACGTTTCGTAACACGCAACCGTGTGAACAGCGAGCATACACACGCATGTACTTACGCTCGCAGGAACACGAACCAACGAGAATGCTAATTGCCGCGAAAATACGCGTACATGGGTACGCGAAACGTGTTAGCAGTTAAGTGGAAACCGCCCTCGAACTTTACTCGACGAATTCATAAAAATCGGACAGACCCGTTGTACACACGACCACCCGTGTGCACCTTAGTTTTTCTGAAAACAAAAGTCGCTTTTCATTGATGCTACGTGGACACCGATAGATATACCGCGATGCGATAAGATGAAGCGGGAAGGATAAGGAACCGACGACGCGCCGCGACTCCAGTTATGATAATTGCGTTATCCGAGCGACGCGACGCACCGTGTATATTTACTCAGCGACTATCTCGGTGACGCGTTGCACCCGTAGATAATGTTACACTGATTTCTAGGCGAAATTCTCGCAAGGGGAGCTTATCGACAACGTTCGTATTGCAATTTTCGACGACAAACGAAAGTCGATTCGCAGTTTCCCTGTCCCTTCGGCCTCGATCTCGTTGCCACCATCGTTTCTGTGGCACAGATCGCTATCGGCACGTTCTTCCACGGACAGGCGTCGGTTATTATTGTTACGTAATGTTTACGTAACATACACGTACGCGACTTGGAGTTACCACGAAGCGTCAGCGTTGTAGCCCGGCGCGCGTGCGTCCGCGATCTTGGTCCATATTCCCTTCGCCTTCCTTTTCACTTTTCTCGACCTCTCTGTCTTTACTGTCTCGTCGCACATGCTTTCCATTGCTAAAATTCGACACGCCCTTCCAATCGAATCCCGAGCCAAGGTCTCGTTCGACTCACTTGTTTCGTTTCTCTGAAATAAAACTGGACCAGAGATGATTGATCCTGTTCGTCAAACTAGATTCGTATGGTTACAGGCGGAGGACCTCTTGGACGACATTCTGTCGTTCGAGACTAGCTCCCTGGGCGATAATCTGAAGGATGGCCAACAGGGTAGCCTGACGAATATCCCAGAATTGCAGATCAAACCGGAACCTTTGTTGCTGACCGAAGCAGAGATACACGCTCTGGCCAAAGACCGGCAGAAAAAAGACAATCATAATATGAGTGAGTATCGGCGATCTCGATCTTTCTTTAGCCGTCAGAATGACCGAACATTGTGGCTTTCAGTCGAAAGACGACGACGATTCAACATTAACGATAGAATAAAGGAACTAGGAACTCTGTTACCCAAAACCAACGACCCGTGAGTATGGCAAATACTTCCTTCAAGTGCTCCTCGAGTAGACTGATTTTTAATTGAAGTCGACAGAGTCCTTTAATATACGTTTGCAAACAGAACTCCTATCGGTCGAGCAGTATCAGAATTTTTCGAAATATCGCGAGATACATGGTACACGCTGACTTGTTTCGATAACGAGACGAATTAAGGATGTATTGGCTATACTGTCAATCCCAAAAGTTTATGTACCTAAGAAAAACGCATTTCCTATAATTAAAAATAGTGCATTCTTCTTCTAATTTCGATATTTAATGAGTTACATATGATTATTTGGCATTTTATTCATGTTGACAAAATCCGACCATTCCAGTGTCGAAACGGCGAACTTTTGGAAAAAAATTTCGTTTTTCCTCAATAACTCCTAAACCTTTGGAGATACGAGAAAATTGCATAGGACCTTTCTTGTAGAGGACGACGAGATCTACAATTTCTGTATAAAAGTTTTTCGCTAGCATTAATATTTAACGAGTTATTGACGAAAAACGAAAAAACAGTTTTTTGCAAATTACTCATTAACTATTGAAGCT